GAAACTTCAGCTGGTGCAAAACTCTGCAGCCAGACAACTGACTGGGGTCAGCTACAGGGAGCATATAACCCACCTGTTACAAGAACTGCACTGGCTACCGGTCCGTTTCCGGGCCCAAATCAAAGTGCTAGTCATTACCTGTAAAGCCCTATATAGCTTGGGTCCAGGCTATCTGAAGCACCGTACAGTATCTCCCTATATGCGCCTTCTCGACCTTTAAGATCAGCAGAGGAGGCCCTCCTCTCAGTCTCATTGCAAGCACAAGCACAGCTGATGGGGACATGGGAGAGGGCCTTCTTGGTGGCAGCTCCCAGGCTATGGAACACTCTCCCACAGGAGATCCCTGTTCTCTTTCCAAAGAAACTAAAGACCCATTTCTTCAGGCAGGCTTTTTATAATTACAACTGAATCCCTGAACCCCATTTTAGCAAATAATTTAAATCCTTTCCATCTTTTAATCTTTTAATCTTTTAATTTAATTTTTAAATCATATATTGTTTAATTTATCTTTTAATATTTAACTTATTGTGCTTTTTAATTGTGTGAATGTTAATGTTGTGAGCCACTTTGGGTCCCTTATTAGAAGTAATGCGGCATAGTAGTAGTAGTAGATGATGATGATGATGATGATGATGATGATGATGATGATAACAACAACAACAACAATATGCTGTTAATGTATATCTATCTTTAATAAAAATTAAAATCTGAAAAAATAAAGATGTGGTGCCTCTTTATCAAAAGAGCTGGCAACCTTAATTTAGCACCAATATAGTTGAACACATATAGATTCAAATCTATACTTTTAAGAGTTAAGTATTCATGGGTTAAAAAATAGTTGAATAAATGAATTAATGGTTGTGGGTGTTAGTATAGAAATGAACATTCAGTGTAGAAAGCAAATGTTAGTGGCAGGTAACAGAGTCCTACATCGATCTTGCTGGCTAACTCAAATTCTTTCTATTTTGAATATAAAGAAATATTAAAATATTGGAGCGTCTCCCTCAAAGAACGGCCCATGCCGGCTCTTCCCTTCAGGCCTAGCTGCTACGAGTGCCTACAGCAAAGGAGACCTGGAAAATAGTAACTATGAACCGGTCCTTCTCAGTGGTGGCTCCATCTTTGCAGAATTCAGTTCCATCAGAGGTTCACCAGATCACCTCATTCCAGGCCTTTTGCAAGCTAGTTATGGCAAAGGTCTCCCTCAAAGAACGGCCCATGCCGGCTCTTCCCTTCAGGCCTAGCTGCTACGAGTGCCTACAGCAAAGGAGACCTGGAAAATAGTAACTATGAACCGGTCCTTCTCAGTGGTGGCTCCATCTTTGCAGAATTCAGTTCCATCAGAGGTTCACCAGATCACCTCATTCCAGGCCTTTTGCAAGCTAGTTATGGCAAAGCTCTTTACTGTGAATCTATGGTTTTTGAACCTTCTCTGTGATCAAGGTGGAAAGAGCATGAACTAGAGATGGAAAATACTAAGGGTATTTTTTTGTTTAGGATTCCAGAAATGGTGACACTGTTGGGAAAAATCACATCTCAAAATGACATAGAATTGGTTTTTCTAAAGGAGTTTGATTTGGGGAAGGAAAGGACTCTTTAAAGAAGCCTTTAATATTATTCTTCCCCTACAGCAGTCCCTCTGTTGACCCTCATTTGTTTTATCTGCCTCAGGTGTCACTGTATGCTTTACTATTGCCATGTTTTTATTTTTGTTATTTGTATTCAAATTTAATGTTATCATTTGTTGGTTGAGATGTGGTCAGGATATTTTAAATATGTTGTATACTGACTTGGGGCAGTAATTCCACACTGAATAGGTGGTATAAAAATTAAACAAAAATTATTCTCAAACAAAATTCTCATTTATTCCTACTTATCAAGTAGGTTCTGTTGGGAATAAGGCACTTGGAATATAACTCTTGTGGGATATCTTACAGGTTTAAAGTAAATCACAACCTTCTTTTCCTTCTCAGTTAAAAACTCTTGAAAAGGCTGGGCTGCTTCATCGAACAAAAATTGCTGATAAAGGAAAACGTTTGAGGTGGGTATGGCTTTCTAGGATGTCTTCGGAATGCCCTCCATTCCTTCCTCACAGTTCTGTGTACAAGACTTTGAAAACTTAATTAAAATGTGATAGATGAAAAGAAATAAAAGCAAAAGACCCACCCACCTTTAAGGAACACAAGATGGTTAAGGCTACATGACAAACCAATCAGAAATGTGTCATCTGGATTGCATATACTAATTTTAAAAATACCAACAATTAATTTATAAAGCGTCACAAATAGCCCTGTGAATGGGGATTCAAACCCCTGTGTCTCCTCCTAGTTTATAATTGAATCCACTGCACCACACTGGCTGTCAAACATAAGGCAAGAGACTTATTTTTCCTTAATAAAAATAAATAAAAACAATCCTGGGCTCCTCCATCATATAGTGAAACTGGACCCCATAACTGTAAAAGTAATGAAAAAGTTGCAGTTACACTATAGAAGTAGTGGAGTTATCCCTGATTCAGTTACAGTAGTAGATGGCTAAAATCCTTGAGCATAGGTGCAGTGGCATAAATTGCAACAGCTTACTTTGCATTGTGTGTGTGTTTAGTCGTTTAGTCGTGTCCGACTCTTCGTGACCCCATGGACCAGAGCACGCCAGGCCCTCCTGTCTTCTACTGCCTCCCGGAGTTGTGCAATTACTTTGCATTAAACCTGGAAAATTTATGCCAGAGGAAACAACTCAGTTGAATTAAAATTACTTGGTTGAAAGGGTTGAGCAAGAGGTTTATCACATTTGTAGATGAAGCCAAGCTAGGAAGAACACCTATTGCCTAATACTTCAGAAGAAAGAATAAGGGTTCAAAGTGCTTGTAATGGACTAGAGAATGGGACCAAAACAAGCGAAATATGTTTTAGCTAGTATAAATGTAATTCTAAGATTCCCAATAGCTGACTTTAGTTGCTTTTCTTCTTTCTTCCACAACTAGTCATTATACAGTACTTCTAACATCTGTATAAACTTACAGTTCCTGCCACTAATTTAGGATTGCCACCAAATAACTGTATTCAAGTATTTTCCTGTGTTTTCTTCCCATCTTTCTAAAGCTCCATAAAATTGCTCTAAAAAAATGTTCCTTCCATTCTTTGTCCAGCTGACTGTAGAAATGCAGTGCTTCCACAGTACTAAAGGAATCCCTCCCGTTATAGGAAGAACTTTTTGTCTCTTCATCCTGTGTATGTGATTCAAGTTTAGCATTGTGTTGCTTCTGCAAATCTTTTCCTCATCCTCTTCTCCTAACCCGTTCCTTGATGCTTCTGACTTCTCCTTTCACCTGATTTGATTTGTTCCCTTGGAACTGACCTCAATTTAGATTGCCGATTATGTCTTCATTGCATCTTGCAACTAAATAATTTGGCCTCAGATACTGTAGTATGTTGTGCCTTCTCCGTCATCAAGAGCTTTGACCATACAGATTGGTATACAGCATGATAGCCTTCTTCAAGGAAAGGAAGTGTGTAAATGCAGTCTACCTAGCACAAAACAGATAGCTGAAGAATTGTGAAATAGCTGACTTTGGTTGCTTCTCCTCTTTCTTCCACAACTAGTCGTTATATTTCTAACATCTGTATAAACTTACAGTTCCTCAGTATAACTCCCAGAGTCCTTTCCCCCCCCCCCAAAAAAAATCTGAGAGCTGTCACCCAGAAAGCAACTTGTCCAAGTTCTGGAAAGGGATTTTGGATTACTTTTAAAGTATGCCAGCAAGCTAAAGGGTCTGTGAGTAAAGTAGCTTTTCTCTTGATTGTCCTGTAGGAAGAACTGGAGTTCCTCATGGACGGTCTTAGAAGGAGGTGTCTTGACATTTTTTAAGGACTCAAAACATTCAGCTCCTGGTAGTGTGGTAAGTCTCCAGTTGTGGCTGGCCATCCAGACAGAGGAACCTCTCAGCTAAAATTCTGAGGGTGGGAGGGTCATCTACCTCACAAGGGGCCAGAATAAGCCAGAGGGCTACTCCTCACCCACCCATAAGCTGCCACCTCTGCTTTCCATTGAGTTTTGCCCTGACCATAAAACTTGCTTTGCCACAATAACCAATTTTCCTTGACCATCCACATCACATGTTGCTGAGTTCAGTCATGACATTAACTCATTAATACCTAATTTCTTTATGTAAGGTGGCCTGTCGGTGTGGATGTGTTCTCTTTTATCTTTAATTGAAGTATTGGGTAGCTCCCAGAGTCCCCCCCCCCAATTCTGAGAGATGTCACCCAGAAAGCAACTCGTCCAAGTTCTGGAAAGGGATTTTGGATTAGTGGGCAGCCATTATGTGGGTGTGGCAGCCATTTTGGAACCGCCAATCAGCTGTTCTTAAAACATCGCAATGCAATAATCGGTAAGCGAAATGCTTACCGATCATCGCAATGCGATGTTTAGCCACCTAAAACATCGCAATGCGATCGTATTAGCGATTGCAAAACACGTGTCGCTATGCAGATTCGTCGTTAAACGGTGCGCTCGTTAAGTGAGGCACCACTGTAGCTTGGCCTCAGGTAGTATGTTGTGCCTTCTCCATCATCAAGATTTTTGACCATACAGACTGGTATACAGCATGATAGCCTTCTTCAAGGAAAGGAAGTGTGTAAATGCAGTCTACCTAGCAGAAAATAGATAGCTGAAGAATTGTGTGCCTTGTGTGCTGCTTGGAAAAGTTACTATTTTGGTGTATAGCTCCCAGAGTCCCCCCCCCCAATTCTGAGAGATGTCACCCAGAAAGCAACTCGTCCAAGTTCTGGAAAGGGATTTTGGATTACTTAAAGTTTGTCAGCAGGCTAAAGGATCTGTGAGTAAAGTAGCTTTTCTCTTTATTGTCCTGTAGGAAGAACTGGAGTTCCTCATGGACTGTCTTAGAAGGAGGTGTCTTGACATTTTTTAAGGACTCAAAACATTCAGCTCCTGGTAGTGTGGTAAGTCTCCAGTTGTAGCTGGCCATCCAGACAGAGGAACCTCTCAGCTAAAATTTTGAGGGTGGGAAGGTCATCACATAGGGTCAGAATAAGCCAGAGGGCAACTCCTCACCCACCCATAAGCTGCCACCTCTGCTTTCCATTGAGTTTTGCCCTGACCATAAAACTTGCTTTGCCACAATAACCAATTTTCCTTGACCATCCACATCACATGTTGCTGAGTTCAGTCATGACATTAACTCATTAATACCTAATTTCTTTATGTAAGGTGGCCTGTCGGTGTGGATGTGTTCTCTTTTATCTTTAATTGAAGTATTGGGGATCTGTTCTGTTCTTGGTAGGAAAGGACCATTTTTGCTCTAGCAATGACTTTCTCTACAGTGGCTCAGGAAGTGTGGGAGATCACCACAGGCCCACTTCCTCTAGGTGCCTCATGTTGCTCTTCCACTTCATTGTCATTGTCCATGATAAAGAAAGCTGTCATTGGAACAGCAGTTAAAATATAATAGCCTCTCTAATCACTTGACATAAAGAAGATAAGCAGCAATGAGTAAGACTGACCAGATACTACACATCTTTATATTTCAAAATGTAAGTAATTTGTTTTTAGTTTTTAATGTGTTATTTTTGATCTCATCTCCATCAGAGGTATGTTTGATTGGGAAGCAGGCAACATCTTAAGGTTTGAAAACAAGGTTTGGTAATGGATGTGGGCACCAATGCATGCAAAATCAACTAGCCAGAGGTATAGAAGCAATGGTAAATGTAAAATAATGTCTCTCTGTATATAATTTGTTGAAGAAATTGGTGGGAATTCTTCTTGCATTGTAGCTGGGAGCAGTCACACAACATGAACCAGAGCTTGGGAAATTACTTTTTAGAAATCATTGGTTACAATTATCATTCTAAGCGCCCTACCACAAGTAATTATTTATTTAGCATTACAGAATCCTATTGATTAGTTACACCAGCATAAGTGCAGTGGCATAAACTGTAGCAGCAAATGTCTGCAAGTTAACAATTTGCTACTTCTATCCCTCATTCTGTGCCAGTTGTGTAACTAGTGGCAATGTACACTGTAGTTTATGCAGTTGCACCTAGGATTCTGGCCAAAGGTGCTTCATTTTCATCACAATATAATACCTAATGGCTAGTGTTCTGCTGGATATTTATTTCAGCATAACTGTGGATATCATTGTGGCAAATTGCTGCTAATTAATTGGTTGTCACTTGCACACCTTGTCAAGTGCCAGATTACATGACTGGTGTGCAACTAGGAATATGGATGGCAACTTGACTACACATCTTTATATTTCAAAATGTAAGTAATTTGTTTTTAGTTTTTAATGTGTTATTTTTGATCTCATCTCCATCAGAGGTATGTTTGATTGGGAAGCAGGCAACATCTTAAGGTTTGAAAACAAGGTTTGGTAATGGATGTGGGCACCAATGCATGCAAAATCAACTAGCCAGAGGTATAGAAGCAATGGTAAATGTAAAATAATGTCTCTCTGTATATAATTTGTTGAAGAAATTGGTGGGAATTCTTCTTGCATTGTAGCTGGGAGCAGTCACACAACATGAACCAGAGCTTGGGAAATTACTTTTTAGAAATCATTGGTTACAATTATCATTCTAAGCGCCCTACCACAAGTAATCATTTAGCATTACAGAATCCTATTGATTAGTTACAGTAGCATAAGTGCAGTGGCATAAATTGCAGCAGGAAATGTCTGCAAGGTAAAAATTTGCTACTTGTATCCCTCATTCTTTGCCAGTTGTGTAACTAATGGCAATGTACATTGTAGTTTATGCAGTTGCACCTAGGTTTCTGGCCAAAGGGTGCTTCATTTTCATCACAATGTAATACCTAATGGCTAGAGTTCTGCTGGATATTTATTTCAGCATAACTGTGGATAGCAATGTGGGAAATTGCTGCTAATTAATGGGTTGTCACTTGCACACCTTGTCAAGTGCCAAATTACATGACTGGTGTGCAACTAGGAATATGGATGGCAACTTGATAGTTAACAGTAATTCACCACTGCAATTTACACTGTTAAATCTTTTACCAGCCTAAATGTTCAGGAGGATTCTGGCCAGTGTAATGTAGATATGCACTCACTGGGAAATTGAATGATTTAGCATAAACTAATTATTTATAGAGCATTATTTCCAAGCTGTCATCTGCACTTAGCATTGCCTCTGTCTTTTCTTGTTCATTTCACCTTTAGAAACATCCTTCTGTGTTGAGTAGCCCAGAGTACACTGTGGATCTTCATGGAGCAACACTTTTGTGGGCTGCCAAGGACAAATCAAGCAAAAAGAATGTCTTAGAGGTAAAGAGTAGTCACCTTCTTTAACAACATGTTTGGGGATTTGTATAGCAGCTGATGATTACAGCATTCAGGGAAGAAGACATAGCACTCAAGCACAAGCTCCTCGCCAGAGTATATCTGCTAGATGCAGCTTTTTCTTTCTTTCTGTAAAGATGCACTGGAAAATGTATCTCATGCCGCCTTGTAGAAAAGCGAAGGGACTAAAGTTCATGGTAGAGCTTGTACTTTGCATGTAAAGGGATGATTAAAAGAGAGTGCATTCAAATAGGCATAGAGTGTTTTCTTCTTCTGCATCTGGTTTAAGGAACAGTGCAGGGGAACACACTGAGGATTATATAGCTGGGCTACATATTGATTTGAAGCCTTGCATCTTTGACTTCTGGAAATTTTGGAGTATTGTAACATCATACATAATCATTGGAGATTCTTTTGAATTGTACTGAATTTGTGGGTATTATTTAGACCTTGTGAGTGGTGAAGAGGATCTTCTCTTCAGGTGTTTCATAAAACATTTCCTTTGTCCCAGCTGAAGACGCAGGATGGCTCTGAATATCTGATCCAGCATGATTCAGAGACCATCATCAGCACATGGCAGAAGGCGATCGCTAACAGCATTAGCAAACTGGTAAGAGGAGAAGGGATGTCAGTAAGATGCTGACACACTTTCAGCAGAGGATACCTGAGATAACCTGGCACCTGCTTCTATGGGACATAGAGTATAAGAAAGAAGCAAGGGCTTCCTGGGGAAAAGGAAGTATGTATGTTACATATTTATATTTATTATTTATAGTATAGCCTTTGTAGAAAAGGTTGTACAAGCTAATAGTGAATACCAGAAGGCTGATAGACATGCTGACATTGAGCACACCCAAAGAGCTGTGCATGATGTATGTGATTCCTAGTTGTAGTCATCTGGGAGGAAGGAATTATAACTTTGAAACTGTCCAGTTCTACTAACACTATAGCTATTCATCAAGTTTCTTATGAAACGTATTATTAGAAAGAATATTTTCCATGGGAAAGCAAAATAGTAGGGAGGAAATCCATTCCAGGGAAGTTCCCACAAAATAAATGTACAGTTGGTTTAAGTATGAGGGGTTTGTTTTATTTTGTTCTGTCCTTTGGGGTTTCAAGGTGACAAAATGTGATGGGTCAACCTTGAATATGAATTCTGCCAAACAGAATTTTTTAAAAAATCCACAGCCTTGATCAGCATCTTATAGACATTACAGATCTTATCTTTTAATTTTGCAGAATTATTATGATTAGTATATATGTATGCAAACACCTTTGCAATCTTCCCCTTGTTTTAGTCTTCACACAAGCGCAGTGAAGCAAACCATTCAATAAAGAATTTTGTTCTCTCAGATCTTTAAAAATTGATTTTGGGGGGACTACAACTCCCAGAATCCCACAGTTGGTATGGTCAGTGGAGTAGGCTGGCTGGGGCATTCTAGGAGTTGTAGTCTAAAAAAAATTGTTTTTCCCCCAGCTTTAGTTTGCTACCCAGAAAACTGACAAAGAATTGGTTTCCTTGAAGACCACCACCCACTGAACTTCCAGCCAAGGTTTCTATTGCACAATCATCCTACTTCATTTATGGAAGTTGACTGGGAAAGTGGTCCAGGTTACATTGTTTTGCCTTCCTGTGTTTTTAACTCCTTTTGTCTTATCACTGCACATACAAATAATCTTCTGCAAAGAGAAGGACAGAATACCAGTGGGTTTTGACTATTAAGCTAGAAGCCATCAGTCTGGAAGGTCCCTCAGTCATTTCAGATAGGCAAAGGTAACCCTACTATGGCTGGTGTGACAACGATTACTGTACAAATACAGGATTAGGTGATAGCTTTGTAGAACAGTAAAAAAAAATACAGTCTGTTAGCTTTCACGGATCAGAAAGTCCCTTTCCTTGGGCTTGCACAGTTGTCATTAGTGCAGATAACCTAAGAGTCCCAAAGTTCATGGCAAGTGAATTTTGCCAGACGCTTATCTTACATGTGAGTTAGAGAAGATGCTGGCTGCATCAGAGTTATGGCTGAAGAAGCTGTTCATTGGATATTACACCCCAGTTGTTCAAACAAAGAAGCGTAGACATCATGCATACAGCTTCCTGTTTGGCTTCCTTTGAAATTACAAATTTCTATTTGGCCTAGGGAGTAGGGTGATACAAAAAACCTTGAGTTCTTCATCTGGGAATTGGGGTGAGCATTTAATAAACTCACTAGGTTTAGCCAAATTAGGTCAAATTAAAATGAAATGTTTCTATATGTCTTGTTGGTGCAGTACTACAAAGATTACTGTATTTCTCTTAGCCGACAGACTTCCCTCCAGAAGACAGTGAGGAAAATTCAGCAGATTTGAGATCCAAAGAGAATCTAGGAAGCAACAAAGAGAAAGAGAGTGAGAAGAAGAGTCCAGGTCAGTGTACATCTTACTTTAATTGATTAGTTTGAAGTTGATCTTAAAAAATATACCTATATTTGTAAAGATTTTTGCATGAGAGCTGAAATGAAAACATTTAAGCCAAATGTTCAAATTTGGCTTATACCTGCCACAAATGTACCTCATGCAAAATATATCTCATATGTATTTTCCAAATTAAAGAATTCTCGATGCTTTTTAGTGTGTAATTTTTTTGTGTTTTAAATTTTACTTGTTTTAACATTGTGAGCCACCTTGGGCCCCTTCATTGGGAGAAAGGCAGCCTACATTCATCCTAAATAAATAAATAAATAAATTGTGACACATGATGACATTGACAGGCTCTCCTATGCTGTTTCGGCAGACCTATGAATTTTGTATTTTCTGGGGGGAAAAAGCAGAAACCTATTTCTGAGCCAAAGAAACATTGCAGCTGATAGAGATTATTGCACCAATCTCAAACTCTTAGTGTTTATTTAATAGAATTATTTGAAAAGACCTAAATATTGCCATAAAAGGAAAAAGCTTGCATCTTTTCTTTTTCCACCTTTTCCCAGCTGCCTTTGAAACATGTAGTTAAATTCAGCAGAACCTAACAGCAGTGTTCACCTCCTCCTCTGTACTAAAAAATGAAAAAATTTCCCCTGCAGCCTCCTGGCATTCCTCCAGTTCCCTCAACTCAGACTATGATTCCAATAAAGTCCGCAACAAGCTCAGGAAATTCCTACAGAAGCGGCCAACTCTTCAGTCCCTGCGGGAGCGAGGCTACATCAAAGGTATACTGGAGACGGAGTCCAAGCGTTTTGACAGAATCACCTTGGGAGTATCTCTCCAAGCTGCTTGGTTAATTTCTCGGAGGTGTTATCTGTTTGATTGTGCCTGCTTCCAAGCTACTAGAAGAGGTTCATAGTTCTATGGCTTGCCCTAACTGGCAAGGTATTTGCAATGGGGCAAATATTGAAGGATATTCATTTTGTAAATTGTGTGATCATCTTTGTAATGTAATTTGGTCTGCTTTTTAAAAATCCAGATCAGGTATTTGGATGTCCACTACAAGTGCTGTGTGATCGTGAGAAGAGCACAGTGCCTCAGTTTGTTAAGCGGTGCATCTCCGCTGTTGAGAAGAGAGGTAGGCAGTACTGTGTTCTCTTGCAAATTTGTAATTCTTTTCCCAGGTGTCTCATGTTCTGACTGTTACAACTTGTATGCATTACATAAATCAAGCAGCATCTGCATAGTTTTAATCATTCTGTGTCATTCATTCCAGTTATGCAATTTTCAGGAAGTTCTGAGAGCTGAATTTTTAAAAAACGTATTTGAATCTTTGTGACTGTCAAGATCAGTGGCAAAACGTGTAGGTCTGGGGACTTCTCATGAAGGATCTCAGCATGCTTCAGTAACTGCTTGACTTCTTACACCTTCCTATTGAAGCATAGTACATTATGCGAAGTAGAAAAAAAGCATATGCAAACATGTTTAATTTAAATTATTTTCTCAGGCTGAGAAAAAGTTTAGCATATATGGGACATCTGTGGATAAAACTGCTACCATTTCTTCCTCCTCCAGGCTTGGATATCGATGGACTTTACCGGATAAGTGGGAATCTGGCGACAATACAGAAGCTACGCTACAAGGTCGATCATGGTACGGGCCTTGAGAGTTGTGGCATGGCAGGGGAGATAGATTAGGAGTACAATACACCATGGCTTGGAGAAGGTTACAGGTTCAGCTTCTAGTACAGCCCTGTTTAAAACAAGGAAAAATATGGATAGCTGAGAAAGACTTCTGTACTCAAGACTCTGGTGATCCATCACTGTTAATGTGGATAATGGCAGGATAGACCAGGATGAAACATGAATTGCCATGTTTGAGGAAAGTAGCATAGAAATAAACTATACTGGAAATATTGGAGTTTACAAATTACCTTTGTTATGTTGTGCAGCAGATGAAGTTCACTGCCACAGGATGTCATAATGCATATCAATCAGTTTAGATGTTTTTAAAAAGACAATAGACACATTCAGAAAATACAAGTCTACTGGCCGTGATGAGTCATGGTTGCTGTTCCTCAGTCAGATGGAGTACATGGAAAAATCGCTCTCCAGGAAACTGGAAATTATAGTCTCAAAATATATCTTTTACAAGCTCTGTTCAGATGATTTATACCTGAGTGTCAGATGATATGGAAAAACTATGGGAACAGCTGTTTCTGTCCTGCCCAGTTGTGAAGTTCCCAGGGTCCTCTTGATGGCTGCTGCTGGAGAGGATAAACCTTTTGATCTGATCTAGAAAAGCCATTATCTTATGCTTCTGTAGCTTGGGCTGTGGAATTCATGGCACCCCAGCTGGCCCTGTTTCAAGCATCAAGTTTTGCTAAACCCGTTGTCTAAGTCCAGGAGCATCCATCAGTGAGAACATTTAAAATTCTTACATTTAAAAAAAATCAGCAGATCTAAATTAAAACAACTTGCTCTACTGTCTTTCCTGCACCCAGGATGGCTAGCGTCTGCGGCTCCTTGCTTGACAGAGCTTTTCTGTTTCAGAGCCAGTCGTATTCTTCATGCATAGAGCCAAGTCCAGTTCCCCTAATTTACAGGGGGTGGGGGTGGTTTTCATGCCCTGCAGAATACAGGAGAGGAGGGAAGAAGGTTGGTGGCACCTTCATTGGTTCCAGCTGCCAACACAACGGTGTGGGCTGCTGGAGGTGTTGCATTCAGGCCAGCCAATGAACAACCTTATTGTGCTGCGGTGGGGAGCAGCTTATGTGGCTGGCGGTGGCAAACCATTCCTTGGTTATTTCACATACTTCAAAAACCCTGAGGTTGCCATATGTTGGAAACGACAGCTTATAACACTATAGCAATTTGTATGGTTTTACATTACGTTCTTGGTTTCCTGTCACAGCCTGTGGGTGAGATATTGAGAGCACTGAGGCAGGTCCATTTTGAGGATATGTCGGGCACTAATGCCTGCTCCCCTGTAGGGAGATCCCTGTAAGGCTTTCAACGTCTGTCCAACTTGAGGACTGTCTTGTGTATCTCACCTCCAAGTAGCAATAGTGGCTTATGCTCTGATGGGTCCCCGTATTGCATGCTTTCCCAGCATGCCCCCCTCCACCAAAAAAGAAAAGGAACTGATCACATCCAGTAGATCTGATTCTGCAGTCAGTCTGATTATGGGAGAGAGAGAAGAGTGTCAGGGCATATTCAAATGTAGATTTATTTCACTTTAAACCAGCCCAACATGTTTTGGCCTCAACAGTTTGTGGCTTTCTCCAAGAGCTATAAAAAGAAACAGAGAGGGGCAACACATTGTGCACATTCAAATTCTCTACGTCATGTTTACATTGACCGGCAGGCAGATCTCCACACGGCTGGATCCATGCCCTGCATTGTGCCTAACCCTGTCGTTGTTAACCAGTAAAGTCAAGGTCTTCTTTAGGCGGGTTACCTGAGAAGCAGAGTTGAAGTTAACCTACATGGTTGCAGCTGAATGCTTGGCAGCTTCTGGTGCCCTCTGATTGTTCAGACTTCCACTCCCATGGGTTCTGGGCAGCATGACTAATAGTAAGGGATTATGAGAGTTGTGGTCCAGCACATGACTAAATTGGAGCCAAATTCTCTTTTATCTGTTGCCTTGAGAGCAGCCATTCCTATCTTGTACTCAGGTCTTTGCTCAGGTGGGACTATTTCTACCATGGTTGGGCTGGGTTGTTCTTCATTTGAGGGTTTTTTTCCCCACCCAGCATCCTGTCATCTCTTTCACAGATGAGCACTTGGACCTTGATGATGGCCGTTGGGATGATGTTCATGTAATCACAGGGGCGCTGAAGCTCTTTTTTCGAGAGTTGCCAGAGCCACTTTTCCCCTTCAGCCATTTCGAGAAATTCATTGCTGCCATTAGTAAGTAACACTGTTTTTAGGGGGGTGGAAAGATGTTCTGAGTCTGACTAGAAGGCACATATTAAAATGCTGGACCTCAAACTGAATGGAGTAGCTCTTATACACGCCCAAAAAGTTTATGTGTGGTGGTGGTGGTGGTGGTGGGGACAGTGTCTATACTCAGAACTTTAGAAAAGAGAGCTAGAGAAGGTCTATAAAAAGATAAATTACACTTTGTCCTTTTTTTTCTAACAGTTTGCATTTGTCAAGTTTTGGGAGTTGGTGGATACCTTCAGAATAATTTTTCAAATACAAAATGTTAGAACTCTAAAGCAACAGCAATCCTTATTTCTGCATTAGACTTGCCCCCAAGGCACAATGGTTTCTACCCCTAATGTTGATAGTTAGTTCCTTTCCCACGTTTTCTATAAATCGGAGGTGGCACTGTTTATCATTTATCACTCCACAGCTACAACTGCAAAGCAAGTCTGAAAATATAGACTACCCTGCTGATCCATATCAACAAACCGGCTATAACACATTTCATATTCACAAGGAGGAGGTCTTAATTTCCCATTCATGACCAACCCAAACTAGAATTCAACAGGAACAATACAGCAGTGAGAAAATCAGGGGCCCCCAACTAACGCTAAGAAGACTATTCTCAGAGGAGACATGGAAGCTTGAGAGGGATTGCAGATGGCATCATCATCATGTGTCATCAAGTCAATTCTGACATACGGCAATCCTTCTCAGGGTTATCCAGGTAGTGAGTACTCAGAAGTGCTTTGTCATTCCCTTGTTCTGGAGACGCCTTGGGATTTTGCAACTTGCCCAAGGCCACACAGGCTGGTTCTACTTGCAGGAGGCAGAGTGAGAAATCAACCCCCCAATCTTTAGCTGCGCAACCAGATACCTAAATCATGTTCCACTTAATTATTGGGAGGTAGTGCATCTAACACTTACATGAACTATAGTAAATATATGTTTGCTGCTGTGAAAAATAGCTGCTATGTGCCTTGTTCACCCATCTCTCCTGGCTAACTAGATGGGAAGGCATGTGGCACAGCTCGGTGCACTCCACCTATGCTTCATGCTTTCGACTAACAGATACAGACAGGATAGGAAGGAACAACATGTTGTAAACTTGAGTTTGAAAATGTTATTTAAAAATCCAGTTTCTAAAGTTTGTAATATCATCACATGCTTCCAGTAACATGCTTGTATTTATTTCATACTTATATTTATGTCAGAAATGTGTCCCCTCCTGTTTCCCTTCAAGAAAGGAGTAACTCTAAATGGAGGGGGGCAAAGCAATATTTGCTGTAAAATATAAATTTGAGGACTGGCTGGAGAGCTTAGTGAGGATCTACAGCTACACATTAGGAGTTTGATTCCCCACTGTATGTCTCAAGAAAAGAGCCTGTGTAGTCTTGAGCAAGCTGTAAGGTAACCCAGAAGTAGGGAATGATAAACCAGAGTACTTTTTACCTAAAAAACTCTGGAAAGAGTTGCCATCAGTCAAAATCACCTTGATAGCACGCTGCTGTAGTAGTAGTAGTAGTAGTAGTAGTAGTAGTAGTAGTAGTAGTAGTAGTAGTAGTAGTAGTTGTTGTTGTTGTTGTTGTTGTTGTTGTTGTTGTTGTTATTTATAGACTTGAGTCTGAAATATATCTCCCTTCCAACTGCAGGCTTGAGAAACTGGGATAAACAGGTTTCATGTTCACACACATGTACCACTGTCTTGTGGTAATACTCCAGTGTGCAGTGATCCTTTGAGCCTCAGTTCCCTTTGTCCAGTAAATATGCAATATATTTTCTCATACATTTGCCTATACAGTAGGACCCCGATATCTGTGGGATCGCTTTTCCACTTCTCCACAGTTTTCTGCAGCCCTGTATACAACATACTGTACAAGGTGGCTCACTTGTGGCCTTTGTACCACCTTCATGTAGTATCTCAGGTTCACTACTATTTGTAGTTTCAAGCATTCACAGTAGATCGTGGAATGAGACCCCACTGATACAGAGATCCTATTGTACATTTAAAAGGGAAAAGAGTACAGCAGCAACAGTGACTCTTACATTCTTTTTTTCTCTGTAAAATAACTGAATGAATGAGCTATCTTCCTCTTTCTGGGACTGTAGAAATTTCGGACCCCACAAAGCGAATCTACCGTCTACGGGAGCTCGTGAATTCTCTACCTCCTGTAAATCATGACACCATGAGGGCCCTTTTCCAGCATCTTTGCAGGTGAGCAATTACGACCTCACAAACTTCTGATCCAGCAGAGATTGTTGTGGAGTGCTAATTTTCTACTCAATGTGGCCCCTGAAGGACTCAGAGCATGTGCAGAGTTGTTCCCCTTTTCTGTGCTTCCCACTGGCAAGCCATGATCAACCTTTATCTTGCTGTTACTTTGTCTTGTGTGTGGTCTCTCTATTACTTCACTAGCATACAGGTTTTTCTGGCTCTAGGCTTCTTTCCTGACTCTTACTCTCTGTCCACATTACTGGATTGCAGTTCCCATCGTCCCTAACCATTGGCTATTCTGGTTACAATTGATGGGAGTCAGAGTTGATCAGCATGTAGAGAACTACACCTTCCTCATCCTTGTTCTTGTCTGTCCTTCTCATTGGTCTCCCAACATTTTGCAGATGACTCTCATATTACTTCACTGTTTGAAAGTATTAATGTTCAGCTGTACTCCAGGAATACAGGTGGTAGTGGGAGAGGTATGCATATTTAGGTATTTTTAAGCTTACATGTAAGCTAGAATTCAGAGAAGTTAATCTTTTTTTAAATATAATTCCTAGAACCCACCACCCAGCATAGCCACTGACCATGTTGGCTGGCACATTTTGGGAATTATTATCTCAAAAGTTAGTTCACCACCCTTCTTGCAAGTATAAACCTCATTAAAGTGAAGAACACTACAATCCGACAACCGGGCACAGATTTGATCTTGAAGTCTTCCATAACTATTCTCGATATATACCAGAACCTGTAGCATGTCAGAATTTCTCTTGTTTCTCACTTCAAGGAATCTTTCCTTTCATTTTGCAGAGTGATAGAGTGTCGGGAGGAGAACCGCATGTCAGCACAAAGCATTGCAATTGTGTTCGGGCCAACGTTATTGAAACCGGAAGCGGAAGAAGGAAATATGACAATGCACATGGTCTTCCAGAACCAAATTGTAGAACAAATTCTTAGCCGCTTCAGCTACGTATTCCCAGAGAGCTAGACCTCCCTGGTGGAGGATGAGAGCCAAGATGAATGGAGGAATGGCTTCGATTCAAGGGCAGGTCCCGTCACTACAGGAAAAGTGGTGTTGCTGGGCAATGGCAAGGCTAGAGACAGTGAAGCTAGAGAAGGAGAAGAAGGGAGGGAACAATGACAAGCAATAAAGCTGTCAGTGATAGATTCGGTCATGGCTACCCCTCTCAATTCCTGGGGATGTAGGCTGTGAAAACTCTGTTGGACAAGAGAAGGGCTAATCGTTAAGCAAGACATTCTGGGTTAGTGATCTTCAGCTCCCATCTGGAGTATCTTTTTGTGAAGAAATGATATAACCTGGTGCAGACAAAGGTTAGGGAACACAGAAGCTTTATGGATTAAGCCCATGCCGTAATTATTTTCAAATGTTATGGCTTCTTGCTAAGGAATTCTGGGAGCTGTACTGTCGTGAGTGTATTGTGACTCTTTCACCTCTTTTGAATTAATCAGTCAAAGCTGAAGATGTGTCAAGATGGTGGGACAGGGACAGGCATCCTTTCAGTGGACATGAGATATTTTGACTCTGTGCCATCTATCAGAAAACACCTATCTCTGCCAACACACAGCACAAACAATGAGAAATTGTGACTATAGTGGTAATAATGAAATTACAGAGAGTTATCATTTGTAGAATTAACCCATATGCACCAGCTGCTTATTCTAATGTGTGTGGGAAACAATGGGTAACATACAGCCCTCTGGAGTATGTATTCAATTTCCTTCTCCACTTATCCTATTCCTAACTGTAAGTAACCAGAAGGTCTAAACTGGCCATTCAGTGAGATCCCACATGGATTCAGACAATGCAGGGCACGTTTGGTGCACTAATGTATATGTTTTCCTTTCCACATAACTTTGCCGTGTGCAAAAATAAGGCGCATCTTGCCTCAGAAATCTAGTATCTGAATAGAAAGAGACACCCAGCAAGCCAAGAGACATTTGAGTCTGCATTCTTCTAGGAAAAAGTTGAATTTCATGGCCTGTGTTCTGAGGTGAAGTACACCTATAGGGAAATGATCTAATGCTAATACTGGAGTTTTGCACAGGGCTGAGAGTGACAGGTCCACTACTATTAGAGAACTTCAAAAATCAAGGGCTTAGCAAAGTCATGTTAGGACTATGACTACCAGAATCCCCATCCAGCATGATGAACCTGCTGCCTGGGTGATTCTGGGACTCATAGTCCAAAAAGTAACTTTGCTTATAATCTCTTAAGTATTCAAGGTTCACCTTATTACCCTTTGTTGTCCTTTGTTAAATCCAGAATTTAGGGGTTTTTACGGCCTAGAGTAGTGATGGGGAACGTGTGGCTCTCTAGATCTTGTTGGACTGCAGTTCCCATCAGCTCTAGCCAGCATAGGCAAGGATGAGAGACGACAGGAATTACAGTTCAATAATGTAAAGGGCCACATATTCCTGCACCCTACTTCAAAAATAGTATTTTCCATACCGTACGTACATAAACTCCATTTGGGATCTATTGCTTGTGCTGCATCTCTGCTTGCTGGCACAAACTTTGGGCCTGTGAGTCTTGGAGTTGTTAAATGCACATAGCTAAGATGTGTGGGATGACTGCCTCTGAAATATGAATGTGGAAAAATTCATTTCTTGGACTACAACTCCCAAAATGCCCCAACCAAGATGGCCATTGAGCATGCTGGCAAGTGTGTTTTAGTCCAAAGGGGAAACATTTCTAAGCTCTGCTCTACGTCTGCTTTTCAAAGCGCACAGTGGATGCACACTGACACTATACAGGAGGAAATGTTCCTGCTTAATACAAGTGTCAGGATATTGCACAGGATTTCCTCAAGTGATCTCAGCCAAAGACCCATCCTCCTCCACCACCTAGCCTAAGATAGGAGAGTTTCTCTTTCCCTTTTCCCCCTGCCCACACTCAATATAACAGTGTTATCTGCTGTACTGAACAATCCATACTGGTCCATTACAGCTGCCCAGTAAGAACCTTCTGGTATAATTTAAATATATGAGAAATCACTATTGACAGAGTACAGTTAAGTGCCACTCTGAATGTGTCATTGGAAGAAAGACGGATCCTGATTTTTTTTATTTTTTTTAGTCCTATGCTGTTATTTGCCACTGTTCTCATAGAGATCCACTACTACCAAGATAGTAGTACTGTTATAAATTCATATAGGGAGGTTAGAGAGATTAAATGGTTTCTTAAAACACTGATGGTAATTAACAACGCACACTCGGAGAAATATATGGTAGTATATGAAAGAAAATCAATATGCTGTCCCGGAATACTTCCTCTTCCTGCAAAGGAGAGAGTGTATGTGTGCTCATGCATGTGCATGTATGTATGTGAGTATGTGTCTTAAGTATTGCTGGAAATGCAGACCCAAATGCTTTTATCTTATAATTTAAAATGAGAAAATATCTGTTGTGGTTTCAGTTTTGAGGAAATATAGAACAACTCCTGCCACCTATTGTCACTTCCTAAATTAAACAGATGTTGGTTTTGTTACAATGGCAGACGTACAAAGCTGCTTAGCCAGCTGTGGGTGACTGTGAAGGAAATCTGTTGCTGGAAGACCATTCATGAAAGTTTATTTTTAAATAAATAATAATCCTTCCATTAAAATATTGTGTGCTTATTTGGGATGGGAAATGTCACAGCACATTACAATTAGAATTTATTATTATTATTTATTAAATTAAGATCCCATTTTTTCATCAAAATAACATTCAGAGTAGCTAACAATAAAATATGATTAAAATGAATTTTAATTAAGCTGTAATGTTAAAAAGTCAAAATGATACTTAAACACATATTCAAAACCTAAGCAACTGCAAATTCTTTCAGTAGCAGATTGGATTACTTGCCAAAGCCCAGCTCAAACAAGATCTCTCTCCCTACAAACAAAGGACCACAGTGGGAACCAAACTCGTATCTCTCTAAGGAGTTCCACTGTTTGGGAAAAAGCATCAAGAAGGTTCTCTTTCATGTCCCCTCCAAGGGTGCCTCCGGTGATTGACCCAAGAGAAGGGTCTACCCCCGAAAGTTTTAAAATGCAGGCAGGTTATAAAGGATATCATAATCTTTCAAATAGCTTGTTCTGTGCCATCAAGTCAGAACCAACTTACAGTGACCCTAAAAGGATGGACTTTCAAGGCAAATGAGACATTTAAGGAGTGTTTTACCAGTTCTGCTCCCCCAGTGAGCTTCCATGGCTGAGTGGGGATTTGAACCCAGACCTCCTGAGTCCTAGTCTGTCACTCTTATTTGCTACATACAACACTGGTTATACAGGGCTTTTATAGCTTTTAACTGGCACTTTGGATTGTACCTGAAATATACTGGTAGCCAATAAGGTTAATGAGAAACCCAAGTTAACTGTGGCCTATAATTGTCCCAGACTAGCAGGCTGGCTGAATCATTCTGGACCATTTCAAATTTCCAGACATTTTTAAAAAGAGAGCCTAACCCTACCACACACAAGAGAGGCCAAAACAGGATGCACTTACATCCGAAACCTCAAGAGAATCACGAGCTGTGGCGGTATAAAAGCCGCAGAGAGGCCAGGCACCACCGTCGGGCGCGCACCCTCTCCGGTCCGTTCTTGGTGTAATGTCCGTGTAGGGCCAGGCAATCTCTGTTTAGCCTCAACTTACTTTCTGCATCTCACAAAACCATTTTTTTGCAATAAATTCAGACTGCAGTCTAGATCGAACGAAGAGGGCGAGCCAACCTCACCATGAGGAAAAAATCTTGCTATGGGAAGGATCGGCTTGCGAGGTTGAGTGGTTCCAGGTAGAAATGGCACCGCTGGTTCCGCCATCGCCTTCAGGCACTTTCTCCTGGAGGGAAGGAGTACCCTCACCCCCCCCACCCCAGCCCCCTTGGTTTGGCCTGCCCACTTCCTAATCTCTCCCCTTTGCCTCTGGCATCTGTTCAGCTTTATCCTGCACAGGAATGCAAGCAGCACAGAGCGGCCGAGGACGCGGGCAGGGCTGGAGGTCCGGTCTGCACTTAGGCAAAAGAAAGTGGCTTGGGGGGGCTCCGGGTCATTAAAGACACCTCCGGCCCACTCCCAGGAGTCCCAGGTAAATGCAAAGATAATAAAGCGTTTAGCGCTCAAAAGTATAGCCTCTAGTCTGAAAAGTGTGCTTTGTTTGCTGGGGGGAGGGGATCTTCACGCATGGGGTGTGTGTGTTTTCGCTACATTTTCTTAAAAGCCCCCCCATGGCCCCTCCCCATTTTGGGGAGAGAGAAACAGCCAGCACTCGGTGATTAATCCTCTTAAAATTTTGAACTGGACATTCCTCAGGCAGGTTTGAGAAGGCCACAGTTTGCTATGAGGAGCCGAGGTAAAATTCCTAAGCGAAGAGGAGGAGGAGGAGGAGGAGGAGGCAGCCACTGTAGAGGCCTGGTTCTCTCCCCTTCCATCTTTTTCCTTTAAGGTATTTGGTGAGGAAAAAGGTTTCTGGGTTGTGGGTTAGGTTTCTAGTTACTGGCGTCATCACCAGCCAAGATGTGAATGAGAAGAGCCATTCTGAAAATCAAGGAAAGAAATGGAGGAGGGAAAAGGAAGCAACCAAATCCTCAGTCACAAATGTTAAACTTCTTGTGAAACAGAGTACGTACCAGGTGGTGAGGAGAAAATTTCTGGCTGTTCATTAAGAACTGAAGCCAAACAAAGTATAAGTAGGTAGGATGTCTGATCAGTAAAAATCCTCCTGTTGCCTTTTTCATTATAAGTAGAATGAAGACAAGTGAATCTCTTGTTTGTTTGATTTGTGTAAGTTTCATGTGCACAGAAGTCAACATTTTTTTCATCACTCCGAATTTGTGTATGTTCTGTGAAGTGGTGGATAGCTCAGTGGTTTAGAGGTTGAGAGTTTGATTCCTCACTCTGCCTCCTTGACATGGGCTGGAAGGTTCCTTCCACAGTTCTAAGATGATGATTATAAGTGCAAGAATACGTGATCTTTATATTGGATCAGAAGTCATCCCACCCACCTAGTAAGATACTGTAACTTCAGACAATACCAACCTGCCCCTTAGGAATGCTCATGCGTGCACACACACACCCTCACTGGGTAGGCCTTATGGCTCTATGTGGGAAGTAACTCCAAGGAAACACATTTCCCCATGTTGTGTTCCTTGTGCTGTTTGCTTTGGGTTGGGATGACAGGGGTAAAGGTCATCAGCGGCACTACGATTTGCTCAGTTGCTTTGTTTATGCGGAAGTTCCGGTACTGGCGGCGGTAGCTGCGAACCTACCAAAAAAAAGCAGGTGAGGTTTTTTAAATTATTATTATTCTGTGATTAATAGGATTTCCAACCAGGTTGCTTTGTTGTCTACCCATCTATAGCAACTCAGATGCTGGGCTGCAACTCTTGGTGTCCTGCATAATGGGCCAGTCTGACAACACATGGAATAGCACATTGTGCCCACCCCTGTTTTATATTATGATCCCTGATTTGTTCTGCTCCTTCTGTATGAATTAAGCAAAGTAGAGCCAGCATTGGCTGGTTGCCTCTAGTAGCTCAGCTCAGAAACTTAGCAGTTGTGAGATGTCATTGTGTGGATCTGTGAATGGCACTTCAAAATCCACCCAGCCTATAGCAGCCCATGTGGAACCATGTTTGCATTTTGACCAGGCAAGTGAGTGACCCATTCACAAATCTGGGATCCCCAAAACAATAAAATTTCCAGTCCCTTGACCTGACGACATCAGGTATATCCAAGATATATAGCATATCCAAGAAAATATAGGTAATTGTTGTCCTTTCTCCTCCATTCCTTTCCTTCTCAGTGGCCAGGTCTTTCAGATTTTTATATCTGGAGGTAGGTCTTTTTTATTATTATTATTTCAAAGTGCCTAGTTGGTGCTCTACCACTGGAATTATCATTATTACTGAATGAAAACTGGCTTGGCCTGTCTTTATATCTTTCAGTGGCAACTTACAATGTCACAGAATGGAACTCGGTAACAGAACCACAAGTTACTACATTGGACTGTTTCCAGAGTTTAGGTAAAAGGTAAAGGTTCCCCTTGACATTTAGTCCAGTCATGTCCAACTCTAGGATGCGGTGCGCATCCCTATTTCCAAGCCACAGAGCCAGTGTTTGTCCGAAGACAGTTTCCATGGTCATGTAGCCAGCGTGACTAGACACAGAACCCCATTACCTTCCCACCGAGGTGGTACCTATTTATCTACTCGCATTTTTACATGCTTTCGGATTGCTAGGTTGGCAGGAATTTACAGCCCTTAATAAAAGTGTTAACTCTATGTGCTTTCTAAAAATGTGATTCTTCAGACTGGTCTTTTTGAAGAACATTGTTTCTTATTCATGCTTCCTGTGAATTCTAATCAAGTCTGTTATACAAGGCCTTGCTTGCATGGTTAAATTTAACTTTAGCTTCTCATGTACCTGTTGCCTGTCTATGCTCAGGTTTCACCCAGAAGCAGATCTTCTGTAAAGGTATTTTATAGTGCATTGACCATTCAAGTGCCTTGTTTGTTACATCAAAGTCAGGGCAAAGGTTTAGTCAGTTTTGTCGTGCCACAAAATCTGAGGCCATGCTATAGAATCTGAGCAACTTAGCTAAACAAGGAGACGTGTGTGTGTGTGTGTGTGTGTGTGTGTGTGTCTGTCTGTCTGTCTGTCTGTCTGTCTGTCTGTCTTTCTGTTAGTTGTATTTTTAAAAATAATATTCCAATATCTTCTGCCTTACATATTTTGTCTTCCATTCCATGCTTTGTAAGACCATTTGAGAAGGTCTGGCTTGCCCTAGGGACATTGTTAAACCTTCAATTCATGCTCTAATTTTACTCTTTTTCATTCCAAGTGGAAGCACTCCTAAGGGAACTCAGAACACCTTGCCTGAAAGCATCCATGGAGACTGTTGTGATTGTGGCCATTGGGGTGCTGGCAACCATCTTCTTGGCTTCTTTTGTGGCTCTGGTGGTGGTTTGCAGACAACGTTACTGCCGGCCCAAGGACTTCCTGAACCACTATGATACAAGGTAAGCAGGATCACTGATATGTGGCTATCTAAAGTTTATGTGGCCTCAGTCTAAAATATGTCACTGTGAAATAAGGGACCACTGAATATTTATGCAAGTTATCCATGTGTTATGCTGAGGCTTGGTATGAGGAACACCTGCAGAAAATGGTATTAGTGAGAGAACAGTAGTGTGAATGTTTGATTTTTTAAGAAATTTCAGTACTACAGCCTCAATGATTTTTTTATTGATAATTATTAATATATAGCAGTTAGGCAATTTACAAGTGAAACTTGGTGGAATGCAGGTCAGAATATGAGCACAGCTGGTGAGTGAAAAGGCACTGTACAGATTCTCAGAGACATTAATTCCTTCCAACTTTCCTCTCAGACCTATTGTCGACCTTATGGGCACCATGGAGACTCAGTCAGAACCATCGGAGCTAGAGTTGGATGATGTGGTGATCACAAACCCTCATATTGAAGCAATTCTGGAGAATGAAGACTGGATTGAAGATGCTTCGTAAGTTGCATAGTGAAGCCCACAATGCTGGGCTTTTGGGTGACATGTTAGTGTGGAACAACTATATGTTAACCCTCCCAATATTGAGCAATATGAATGTTGAAAGAGCCACCTTAAAACATGCTAGCAAAATGATACTCTAGTCCTAAAATGTGTCGTAGTTCCCTTAAGGTGCTTCTTGTGTTCATCTCAAATTCAGATGAGTTGGTCAGCAGGACTCCATGCCATTATTGATTTATTAGTTGCCATGATATCCCATCTTTCCTCTAAGGAGTCGAAAGTACACATTATTTTTCTCCTATCTACTTTATCCTCCCAAGATTCCTACAAGATAGGTCAGGCCTGGCTCAAGCTCACCCAGTGAGCCTATCTCCCAAGTCCCAGTCTAACACTCAGTGATACCACACAGTAGTCTTGTGGCACCTTAGTACAATTCCATAACTAACACTCAATGATACCACACAGTCTTGTGGCACCTTAGTACAATTCCATATACAACAGATAATGGCTATGGAGGTTTCTCAGTCTGGGGCAATTCACCTCCAAACACTATGTCTCTAGTATAGCTAAGCAAGAGGATTTCAGCCATTATTTCAAAAAAGTTTTTGTCAGTCGGAACCTACTGACAACTTCTTCCGTTGTATCTGAGGAAGTGAGTTGTAAGCCACAAAAGCTTGTGCCAATGAAAAAATGTCAGTCTTTAAGGTGTCACAAGGCTCTGTGCTAGTTTTACAGCAACAGACAAATATGACTATATCTCTGGAAGTTACTACACCACATTCACTTGCTCCTTGTGACAAATACCATGGGCTCCAACTGTAATTCCAACTAAAAAGACAAAACAAAACAGATTCTCGTGGGAGAAAAATAAGGAGTAAGATGTGAAGTTAGCTGTCTTTAAAAAGATACCTCTTGGCATTCAGGTGCCTCCTGCCATTCATCTACTTCTTCTTTCTTAAAGTCTTACTACTATTGTTTAATCACGAGCTGTATAAAAGCTCCATATTTCCCACCTTGCTTGTTTACCTGCACTGCTACTAATTTCAGTGCAACGGCAAAGAAAATGATATTAAAACAGGGTGTTGAAAAGTCTGTCCCAGCTTTGAGACCAGCTTGGGTCCTCTGTGCAGAGTGAGGTGAGTATCATGGGATTGTTCCAGGCACTAATAAGATCCAGGCTGTGTTTATACATTGACAAGCCTCTGTCAATGTATTTTTACATCAAAACGTTTCTGTCCAGTGAGTGTTCTCTGATCTCATGCTATTGGCCAAGCTGTTGGGATGCCATGAAATGTTTATTCACATTCTAACTGCTCAAAGTGCATCACTGGTGTGATGCTCAAAAACAGTCTATTTGTATGAAGGAAATGGAAGCACTCAGTTTAGATGTAGGCAAAATATCATACAGGATATAAGAGAAAGGGGAGTAATAAGACTGAAGTACAGGGCTTTAACTGGATGTTTCGGTGGTTTCTTTTAAAGTAAAATTGTAAATTTCTTTTAAAGTAAAAGTGTGCGCACGCGCACACACACACACACGAATAACTTAATGCTGTCCTTTTCTCTTTTTCTCTCAGGGGCCTGGTCTCCCACTGCATTGCTATCCTCAAGGTAAAACCCCTTTTTGATGATGGTGGGACATCATGGGGCCAGCATGTTAAGCCCTGGTGTGTGTGTGTGATGGCGTGATTCCGGGGAAATGCAAATTGCTGTATGTAAGAAATATTAGGTGGGACAGTTACTGAGTTCACACAACAGACAGTGTTGAGTTGTATCATTCTTTGGACAGATTTGCCACACTCTCACAGAGAAGCTGGTTGCCATGACAATGGGTTCAGGGGCCCAAATGAAATCTCCAGCAAGCCTGAGTGACATCATTGTGGTTGCCAAGCGCATCAGTCCCAGGTGAGGATTGTCGGGGCTACTGCCCAACTGAAGGGAGGAATTATTTGAAGAGGAGTTGGATAATGGCCCTTCCATCAGAGGAGGAGGATTTCGGGAAGGGAAAACATGTTGAATTGGGCTAAAATCTAGATAATCTAAAATAACTGGGACATTAAAAATGCAATAGAATGTATGCGTCATGCAGGTGCCTTTAGGAATATGAAAGAACAAGGTGTAGCAACTGTATGAAATACATTGTGCGGAAGCACCCTAAGTCATACTTCCTAGTACCCATTATAATATTTATGTACATAGGCTCTCTCGCTCTTGCTCTCTTACACACACTCCTTTCTTAATTTGACCTTGGATAACTTGTTAAAAAAGGCTTCTGAAGACTCATCTCTTAATTTTACTTTTTCCCCCCTCCCAGAGTGGATGATGTGGTCCGATCTATGTACCCGCCATTGGACCCCAAACTTTTAGATGCCAGGTAAGTAGGTTACATATGGACTATCTCGAGAATAAGAGGAGCTGTAAAGTTCTAGCAGTGGCTGCAAATTTAAGCCATTTTGGACCATGTACACAATAAAAGTTTTTTAAAAAAATAAATTAAACAGTAATTCTGCCTTCAGAAAAAGAAAAGCATATTATCCTCTTCAGGAAGAACTACAAGTAGAATAATACCATATTTTCTTACAAGTTCTAAGACTTTCCCCTAAAAAATAAAGTACACAGTAAGTATTAGGGCTAAATTCATACTACTTTAACTACACAGCGTGCAGTTTAAGTTCTTTTAATCTTAGCATTAATGACTCCTGGTAGGCCCAGTAGAGGTACACAATTTTAAATAATCCATCCTCGGCCTCTTTTTTGTTGTTGTTATGCTAAGTAGTCAAACTCTCAATTGACAACAATGGATGATTGTTTCTTAGTCCATGCACTTTGAGGGAAATGAAGGAGAGTAAATTTAAAAGCCAGCTTGGGCAGGGTTAAACCTCCTCACCTGCATATGCTGGTTCCAGCCCATATTGCAGCCACCCATCATCATCATCATAATGTGCCATCAAGTCTGTTCTGAGGTATGGAGATCCTTTCCATGGTTTTCCAGGTAGAGAATATTCAGAAGAGGTTTATTTAATGTTGAGTGCAGTTTAGGTCACTGAACACCTGTTTGCTTTTAAAAATCTATCTCAGTACAAATCCTTCCACTACTGCAAACCAAGGTAGGCAGTCCCATGAACAAAAGTGAAAACAGAGCTTGACAGCAAACATCAACAAAAGGCTGGCCAGATGTGTGTACAAATGCCTCCTTATAAAATCAACTCATCGGAATGCAAGGAGAGGATGAGATGCATGGGACGGAATCATGGGTCTTGCCTTCACCCTTACTTTGACCACTCTCCCTCTTCCTTTTGTAGGACCACCGCCTTGCTGCTCTCCGTGAGCCATTTGGTCCTGATCACCCGGAATGCCTGCCACTCTTCCAGCCGCATGGACTGGATCGACCAATCCCTGTCTGCCGCAGAGGAGCACATGGCTGTGCTGCGCGAGGCAGCCCTTGCCTCGGAACCAGAGCGTGCTGCCCCCAGCGCGGAGGGATTTTTGCAAGAGCAGTCTACCATTTGAAAGCAGAATCTGAAAGCCTTCTTCCCACAATCACCTCTTCTCTCGACCCTCTCCTGGCATCACTGACAAAAAAAAAGCTTATGCAGTGTGATGCAAATCATAGTTTGGCTGAGTGTCTTACTCCCTAGAGTGGACAGAACTGAATCTCCACTCTGTTGCTGGTTTGTTCTCTTGGAATTGAAAGGATTATAGGGGTGCTGAGATCTATATTGAGGGGCTTGAGAGCTGCATGTAGCCCACAAACACTTTTGTCCACTCCTAAACTGGCTTGACTCTGTGACAGCTTACATGGTGGAGTGAGTGAGAAGCATGATCCTGAGAATAGTCTAGTCATGGCAGTTGCACTTCTTCTTTGGGGTGTGAAATTGTGACACTGATTAATCTATTTTTCCTCTGATAAATGAGATTTCTTCAGAATTATGTGCCCCAGACATCAGAGTTGCAAACCGTACCTGTGTTTACATTACAATTAGCAATCACAGAACAAAACACATTCAGTGCAAGGTACACTCAGTGTAAGATATGGCAGTAAAGGAAATCACATGCTATGATGAGCAGTGTCCTTCACCAGTGGAAAGTATTCTAAAAGGTACTAGGCATATATGTTTGTTCAGGGGCAGACAACTACCTGAAATCTAGAGGATCTTGGAACTCTTCCAAAAGGTCTCACTGCCACTGCGTCTGCTGCCATAATAGGCACCCCACCTCACCCCATCTAGTTTGACTTTGAGACAAATTAAACACTAGAAGTACTGTTGGGACAGCTCATCTGCAATGCAGAAAATGTAGTTATGGCAGTTGTTTTTTCTGTATAATAGCAGAAAAATTGTGTTGAATTTTGAAGATCTTGTGGCTATCAGTTTCTGTAGGTGTATCTCAGGGTTTTTACTCAGCTACTATCTACACTGGCAACTGTAAACAGCTGGGTAGACGCAGTTAATGACTTGCATATATTAATAGCCTGAAATTACAACTGCTCAGTTGTAATTTTTTTATAGAGAGCCTGCCTCTTCCCCAATCCCTTCTTAGTCCAATTTGTGTGTTTTTTTAATCATAAGAGATTTTTGTTAATATGTAAATCACCCTCAGATTTCTCCCCTTTATAATTCAAATTACATAACATTAAACTGGCAGTCCTCAGATAATACCTTTACCCATCAAATGCATGTATGTTTTTTGCTTCAGTCCATGCTTAAGAACTACTCCCATTCTTAATAACTACTCCCACTCTACAATCTGGATATGCAGTCTGGTTATGACTGCTCTTTGGTACTCTGTACATGTACTGTATTCTGAACTCAACAATAACAACCCAAACGGGGTGGGGAAAATATACACAACCCTTCTCCTGAAGGAAGATATGACTGAATTCCATCAACTAAATCTTCACCTGTATGCTTGTTACTCCCACTTCTTCACATAACTATACATTTTTGTAGTTCAGTCTTTGCTGAGATTTTTACCAGTTGTCACTCCTTTTTTCTCCCTTGTTGTTCATGTTATTGTCTTGAAATAAATAATATTTCTCATTACCTCAATTCAGTCTGAGAGCTTGTTGACCAATACACAACAGCTAAACTTGAACAACTATAAAATAGTAGTACATCATATAGACATTAGCTTGTTGTGAGAATCTAAGATAATTATAGGTGAAAACAAAAAAAGTAAAAAGTAAAAAAGAAATGATGAAAATAAGGTGGCCCTCCTGTCTTCCACTGCCTCCTGGAGTTTAGTCAAATTCATGTTGGGAGCTTCAATGACACTGTCCAACCATCTCGTCCTCTTGTCGTCCCCTTCTCCTCTTGCCTTCACATTTTCCCAACATCAGGGACTTTTCCAGGGAGTCTTCTCATGAGAGGGCCAAAGTATTGGAGCCTCAGGATCTGTCCTTCCAGTGAGTACTCAAGGTTGATTTCCTTCAGAATGGATAGGTTTGTTCTTCTTGCAGTCCAGGGGACTCTGAAGAGCCTCCTCCAGCACCACAATTCAAAGGCATCAATTCTTCGGTGGTCAGCTTTCTTTATGGTCCAGCTCTCACTTCCATACATCACTACTGGAAAAACCATAGCTTTGACTATGGGGACCTTTGTTAGCAAGGTGATGTCTCTGCTTTTTAAGCCTAGATTTGTCATTGCTTTCCTCCCAAGAAGCAGGCATCTTTTAATTTCGTGGCTGCTGTCACCATCTGCAGCGATCATGGAGCCCGTGAAAGTAAAATCTGTCACTGCCTCCATATCTTCCCCTTCTATTTGGCAGGAGGTGATGGGACCAGTGGCCATGATCTTGGGCTTTTTTGTTTTGCTTTGTTTTTTATGTTGAGCTTCAGACCATTTTTTGCACTCTCATCTTTCACTCTCATTAAGAGGTTCTTTAATTCCTCCTCACTTTCTGCCATCAGAGTGGTATCACCTGCATATTTGAGGTTATTGATACTGTATTTCTTCCGGCAATCTTAATTCAATTTTGGGATTCCTCCAGTCTGGCCTTTTGCATGATGTATTCTGCATATAGGTTAAATAAGCAGGGAGACAATATACAACCTTGTCGTACTCCTTTCCCAATTTTGAACCAATCAGTTGATCCATATCCAGTTCTAACTGTTGCTTCCTGTCCCACATAAAAATTTCTCTGGAGATAGATAGGATGGTTGAGGCACTCCCATTTCTTTAAGGACTTGCCATAGTTTGCTGTGGTCCACACAGTCAAAGACTTTTGAATAGTCAATGAAGCAGAAGTAGATGTTTTTGTGGAACTCTCTGTCTTTCTCCATAATCCAGCGCATGTTAACAATTTGGTCTCTAGTTCAAACAAACAAAGGCGTTAAGTGCTGGATGTAGAAAAGGATTAATTATTTCCATGTGTCATGGGTGATGCTGAGCGCTGATTCTAATTGTAATCATGGGTACGCACCCTGTACTCAGAAGAGTGAAAACTGAAGCACATGAAACTTCCCACGCTACACGCCCCCTAACCTTGCTAGGCATACAGAATTTGCATATGGATACATTATATAACGAAGACACCGCTGTTGCTTATTCTTTAAATATTTGCTGCGACTTCCGTTTGAGTCCTAATTCTTAAATTTCATGCCCTTGAGCATTATTAATTTATTGCGATTTTAAAATAAGCAAAAACACAGGAAGGGGGCACCCGGATTTGAACCAGGGACCTCTTGATCTGCAGTCAAATGCTCTACCACTGAGCTATACCCCCTTTTCCGGAAAACAAGGCTTTCGAACGGTCTTTTCAAGACAGGCACAGCTCCGCAGCCCTAGGCAATGAGAATTTGTTTCCTTCAAAGCCAATCGCTTTTATGCCTGACCGTACACAGGATGAATTGCACTGCAAATATTAATTCGTTTGGCAATTCTAAAAACTGCGTTATTTATTTGGGAGCATCGGTTCATTTAAAATGCGATACTAATTTAAGATTAATTTTTACCGCGAGAGATGCAGGCAGCCCTGTGCTTGTTTACTCACAAGTAAATCCTTCCTGTTCTTTGGTTTCAAACTCCCAGGTGGCTCTATCCTATGCCTAGAGGATTGAAACGCGATGACTTTACAGATCCAACTTTTTCGGCCCAAAATGGGGCCAAAGCCGGGAAGGGCATCCCTCGATTTCGGTGGCAGGATGCGTCCCCCCACCCTCGGAGGCGCTCCGAGGCACGATTTGAAACCTTGGTCTGGCTTTCAGAGTCTCGGCAGTACTTAAAGCAGCCCCGTTGATTTCGATGGGACTACCGGGTCCCATTGACCCCAATGGGGATACTACCTTCTAAGCACGAATATCCCGAGACCCCCCATCCCAGGATTGGAGCCACGTTGAGAGAGATCGCCGTGTGCGCGCCTTTAAGGACAACACAGAAGCGGAAATCTCTCCCGTAGAGGAGACCTGCAGCTCTTCTGCGATGGCCCAAAAGCCTCTCGGCCGCCAGTCTTCAGCCTTGGGGGGTGGCCTCCGACAGCCTCGTCCGGTGGTTGCCCCGAATTCCGTGTTAAGCACTCTGAACTTGCTCAGAGGCACGTTTCCTGACCGAGACTGGTGTCATAACGCAGCCCTGAAAGTAATGTTTTTAAACCGGAAACTTATTTCCGACCGAGACTGGTATCATAACGCAGCCCTGAAAGTGATGTTTTTAAACCGGAAACTTATTTTGGATTTAGGATTAGATATAACACATGTTTTTGGGGGGGGGGGATTTTTTTCCCTTTACACTGCAGCAAACTCCATATAAAGAAACAAATCAATAAAGACCAAATGGCAACCTCACAAACTGATCTCTAGGTGGCGCTGTGGACAATAGAGGGAACTGCGTTCTAATGTCACGTGGCAAGGGCGTCTCACGTGACAGGGGTGCATAAGGAAGCTATTAATTGTCCCGGCAGCCTTTGCGTTTCCCTTTTTTCCCCCCTCAGCCCGGCGTCCAAGATGTCTAAGCGAGGTGAGGCCTTTCGATCTGACGGGGCTGAGAGGCAATCCACTCCCATCTGTGAAGCTCGGCAAGGAAACGAGCGCCCGTTTCACGAGTTGCTCTTGGAGGAGGCTTAATTGTCAAGTGGTGGACAAATTCCAGCGTGCAGTTCCTCGGGAAAGCGGGGCTTTACAGGCTGTGGGACGTGGATGTGTGAGAGGGAAGGGATGGGAGAGAAGGCAGATGTCTCTGTGGGACGCAGTTCAGGCCCACACCTATCGTTTTGCTTCTTAAGTTGGATTTTCTCCCATCCTTAATTAACAAATGAATACATCAGTAACAGTAGCAGCGAAGGCAGCGAACTAAAAAGATGGGTTGTGGCTGAAAAAGTTCCGATTCTTAAGGGAGGGCAGAGGGCGAGGAGAATGGCGGGTTTGAGGTACTAGTGGGGGAAAGGTGTTCATTTTTTTTCCCCACTAAAAGCTTTCTTTTAATAGAGGAGGAGGAGGAAGGTGGAAAGGAGCAGTTGTAGACATGAGTTCAGAATTTCTGGAACTTAGTTTAGTAGATGGCTGTTTGCCCCTTCTCTGAAGAATGCCTTCAGCTCTGTTTCGTGCTTGATGATTTGCAGCGCTTGCAAGGATTGCCAATCCAGTAACAATAAAGTAAGATGTTCTGCCTTCCCAAAAGCTTTAGAATAGTGGCTTTTTCTAGTGGGTGCTGGAAATAACTCCTTATTGGAAAAGCAGTCAGTACGTATGCTGTGTGGCTCAGTTGCTTTGGCTGACATGTTTTTCATCTTTGTCTTCTCTGACAGGACGTGGGGGTTCCTCTGGTGCGAAATTCCGCATCTCGCTTGGCCTGCCTGTGGGAGCTGTTATCAATTGTGCAGATAATACAGGTGTGTCTTTGGGAGACTTGTGGGGAAGGGGATCTTTTAGTGTCTGCTTTTGCAACTGTGAAGATGCACACAAGTAGTTCCTCTGCGGAAGGTACAAAACTCTGCTGGAGCTAAAACCCCTGAGACCAGACAGTACTAAACTAAGGGAAGGAATGGTTGACTTGCTATAAAGAAAGACTTTTAGTGTCTGCTTTTGCAATGGTGAAGATGCACACAAGTAGTTCCTCTGGGGAAGGTACAAAACTCTGTGCTGGAGCCTGTACGTTGGAAAACCCCTGAGACCAGTCATTGTAGACAGTGCTAAACTAAGGAAAGGAATGGTTGACTTGCTATAAAGAAAGAAAAGTCCCAAATTCAGTATCAAGCTTTTAAACTGCTGGCTTGGCAAGGATTTTAGGAGGTGCACAACAGTTACAGCAGGGCAGGGGAGTTGATCAAACTTACTGATTTTTTTTCCCAGCTCTATGTTTGGACTTGCTTTCTAAGGTGTTAAGGGACACATCTTTATCTACCATCAATGTTTCCTGTAAGCTGCATGGGTGCAGGGCCTCACAGCGCTGCATCAGTGCCACATACCTGCAGCCAGTGTTGCTGCCTATTGGGTTCTGATCGTGGTTGAAACCCTGCATGCACAGGGCAGGACCCCTGCCCAGCACTGGCAGAAAATTAGAGAGAATGTTGCCTGCCATGTAATGTTTTGGGAGTTGAGAAATAAATTTAGTATATCAGAAATCATAACGGACTTCCCGAAACCTTTGACTGGGGATTTCTTGGGTCATTTCAATCAACATACACCTTGCTGTTGTGCTTAGATTGATGTAGGGGCTTGCAAGGTTTATTAATTCTCACATAACACTTTAACAGAAGGGTGGCATGGTGCAGTTTGGATTTCATTAAGGTGACCCGTAGTTTATTGTACCTGTTAGTTTCAATTTATTAACCCTCATCCAGTCCATTGTCAGGTCCAGACACGAGTTCAGTACAGAAAGCACCTTAAAAAGCAAGTAGAGATGGCACAAACTGCTCATGCAGCAGTTCATGTGAGTTCATCCAAAGGAGAAACCAGGGGTTCATGCCCATTTTTAAAAGCAAGTATTTGGTGTGGGAATAGTGGGATTTTCCTTCTGAAAAGCACTTGCTGGGTCTGTTATCCTATGGCCCAGGAAGTTGTCGTAGAAGGATATAATAATGCCACTGCTTTTGGGTGAGGTAGCAGCTTGTGCTGTTATACCTCAATCCGTGGTGCTACACAAACGTGAAGAGAAAGTCTTTTTAACTCTTTCATGGTGGAATTGCAGATTTGTTATTCTTTTAGTCTCTTGAACTCTGGTATAGTGAATTAATGGAGTGACGTTTCTTTTACTTCATAGGGGCCAAAAATCTGTACATCATCTCTGTGAAAGGCATTAAGGGGCGCCTGAACAGGCTGCCAGCTGCTGGTGTGGGAGACATGGTAATGGCTACTGTCAAGAAAGGCAAGCCAGAGCTCAGGAAGAAGGGTAAGTGGGAAAAGAATCTGGATTTGCAGATCCAAAGTTGTCTCTGTGTACCATGTACCGTGTAGGAAAGCAGCTGAACAGAAAGGAAATTTTGAAAACTGTGTTAATTAGAGATGGGGAAGGGTTGGATCCAGGCCTGTCTGGTGGAAGGTAATTTTGATTATAAACTCAGTCCTTTATTACATTCAGATACCCTTTTAAGAAGTTATTTTAAGGAGCACAACAGAACTGCTGTTTTTTTTAAAAAAAATTTAAAATCCTGATTTTATTGCCATTCTAACAAATGGTTAATAATTTCAAACCAGTGTATGAACTAAGCCCTGTTATTTCCTTATTGTCTTAAGTTTGCAGGACTTGAGCAGGGCTGTTAACCATAGAACTTTTTGGAGACCACAAATTTAAAGAGTCACCATTACTGTAGTTGGAAGCAGCTTGATAGCCTCTGCCAACCTAGCAGGTTGTGCTTTACAACACTTTATTACTAGAGTCAACAAAACACTTTATCATATCATTGCTAGCCCAAGTTTTGGTTCCTAAATTAAATGATTGTGTAAACTATTGTAGTCTGTATATGACACATTGCTATATTAAAAGCTAGTCTTTGCCAATGTTATGCAATCCAGATGTGTTTGGGTTTAATTTCCATCATCCCTGACCATTGTCAATGCTTGCTGGTACTGATGGGAGCTGTAATTGAAGACATGTGAAGGGTATCATATTTGTGAAGGTTGTTCTTAGAATGTTCCAGCTGAACAACAACAGCAAGAAGGGCCAGTGAATTATTACTTCCCCATAAAAATGCAACAAAACAAAACAGAAGACACCCATTACCTCTTCATACTTTTAAATAAAAGTCAATGTACCGAACGTCATTGTACCATACATTGAAGTTGTGCCTACTAAAACAGTGCTTTGCTTTGGCTTAGTGTCAGTCCTAGTTATCCTGGGTCTTTGATTTACCCAGAGCTAGTTTAAATTCTAATTAAATTAACTGCTATGTTTTAAGGACATGCTTCACTGTGCCACTGGCATCAATAGGAGTAAATGGAATAGTTGCTGGATTATACCCTCACTCTTTTCCATTCACCCTGAGAGTCCTAGCATCTCAATTCTGTGCAGATCTTGGACAGGTTACTTTTATAGACTGCAGACCAAAAGTAATCCAAAAAAGTGGCTTTTCTCTGAAATGTCTGTGTTGTTATGGATGTTTAATATTCCAGTGCCTTTTTTGTCAGTCATGCAGCCCTAAGGGAACTGACACTTAGAAACATGTGTTTAAGATGGAATTTTAAGCCTAAGGATTGTATGCATCTGTTTGGCTGCTGATTCTGAGTTTTTGTTTTGTAGTGCATCCAGCGGTAGTAATTCGGCAGCGGAAATCATACAGAAGAAAGGATGGTGTGTTCTTGTATTTTGAAGACAATGCAGGGGTGATAGTGAACAACAAAGGAGAAATGAAAGGTAGGAATACATGTTATAAATAGATGAAACCATTAAATAAAGCACTTTATGTTGTTAAACTTCATTTGGCTTTTTAACTGCATTCTACATTTCAAATGCATTAAGACGCCAAAATCTAAAGAATGTTTCATGGGACACTTCCTTATCAGTTTTTAATTATGTGTTTTACATTTTCCCCCCTAGGTTCTGCTATCACAGGTCCTGTAGCCAAGGAATGTGCAGATCTCTGGCCCAGGATTGCCTCCAATGCTGGCAGCATTGCATAAACATAACAACTATTTTTGCAAATCAAATAAAATAATTATACCAAATGTTTTGGCTCATTGCTACAGTTGTGACAACTGCACATTAAGGTGGAGAGAGAATAGTACAACGTTGGCTCCTGAAGAACATAAGATGGAAAACCTTGGCAGGAAGCCACATAAACTTTAGGAAAAATGTATACAAGGACTGGAGAGATCCTGGCTCCAATCTCCACTTGCCCGTCAAGTTCACTGCTTGATGTTTTGGGACAATTAATTGTTATGAGGATAAAAATAAATATGCTGAATTAACAGCTTTAAACCCTAATACAGTATGTAGCTTTGATAGGCTTGTTTGTCTTTGAGTTAATTCTGTTGGGGGCCTGTTTAATCTTGCCTACTATCTAATACATTTGTAGCTAGTTCTGCTCCAAGGCAAACTTTCTTACTGTATCTGCATAAGTTATTTGTGCTACTAGGTGAGTAGGGATGTGGTGCTGCAAAAGCCTCTGGGCTGCAAGGTTGGAAGATCAATATTTGGAATCCACACAATGGAGTGTGCTCCCATTGCTTGTCCCAGCTCCTGCCAACCTAGCAGTTCGAGAGCATGTAAAAATGTGAGTAGATAAATAGTTACCACCACAGTGGGAAAGTAACGGTGTTCTGTGACTAGTCATGCTGGCCACGTGACCACGGAAACTGTCTACAGACAAATGCTGGCTCTATGGCTTGGAAATGGGTATGAGCACCGTGCCCTAGAGTTGGGCACAACTGGACTAATTGTGAAGGGGAACCTTACTAGGTGAGGCTGCAATCCACTCACTGGCTGTTTTTAAGAGCAAACTTAAGACCTGGCTCTTTAGGCAGGCTTTCCCTCCTGTCATCACTTCAATATTTTTTCCCCATCTTGAACTATATTACTACTGTTTTCTATTTTATTATATTGTTTTTATTCTATTGTTAGCTGCTCAGAGGACTCTGGTCTAGATGGTCAGAGTATAAAATTAATAAATAATCCAGTGATGGAGTCTGACCCACCAGCTGAAGAGACGCGTCCTGTGGACACCTGCTCTTTCTATAGTCATTTGTAGTATATCTATAGGCCTCATGGCTACATCTGGCCAAATGTTGGGTTTTTGCTGCTCCCTTGCCCTTTTGGAACTATGTAGCTTAATGAGTGTGGGCAACTTTGAAGGCGCCATACTCCTGTGGAATTTTAGTAGTCCTAATAAACTGCCTCTGTGGATTGTAAACTTTATTTTGTTCTCATGGACCAATATGACTGTCTTTGCTTTTATAATGATTTATGAAGACCACCAATTATTGCTGACATAATTTCAAGCTTGACTTTAAATGCATAAGGGATATGAACGTAGTTGGCGGATTTTAAAGTCAGATCATCATCATCATGCTGGAAGGGACCCTATGAATAATAGAGTCCCTCCCCTGTCAAGGAGGCAGAAGATTTTAAAGTCAGATCATGATCATCATGCTGGAAGGGACCCTATGAATCATAGAGTCCCTCCCCTGTCAAGGAGGCAGAGCAGAGAATCGGACTGAAACTGGCTCTGCACCCACATACCTAAATCACTGAGCTATCCAGCTGCAGAATCAGACTCTCAAACTCTGGCTCTGCACCCACATACCTAAACCACTGAGCTATCCAGCAGTCCTATGCTTGGATAGTGTGTGTGATGAATATGCACAGTTGTGAATTGGTTTCAATTCCCAGTTAATAATTCGAGTGTGTTTATATAAAAAGGCAAGCAGGTTTGACTACTGTTAATAAGTTTCTGAAGGATAGTCTCACCCAGATTTTTTGAGGGGAAATCTGAAACCTACCACCTCAGCAGATTCTACAGCCCTCATTTTGGAACTTTGAAAAAGGAAGCCAGGGTTGTACCGCTTTCCATGGATTTTGAAACGTTTTGTGTTTCTTATGCATCACCCACAACTCCATAATGCCCACCATGATGAACACTTGCAGAGCTCTGAAAGCTCTACAATAATAACTTGTGAGTCCCCTTGGGTCCTGTAGTTGGGAGAAAGGTGGCATAGGAATGAAATAAAATAAAGCTAACTTTTGTTTGTAAGATTTTAGAGATTTAAGAAAAGTATCGCCCACCCTGTGATTTAAAAGTCCTCTGTTACTTCAGATAAGGAATTTGAGCAGCTCTGAATTCAGAACAGGAGCTAAGACAGTGAAGTAGAAAAAGAGATGGAAATATAAGTTTATAAAGTCAGAAAAGTTATTCAAAATTATTTTTAGTTTAAAAGGGAGGAAAATCTAAGTCCCCTCACCAAAAAGTGTGCTCTTCTTTACACTGGGAAATTAATCTACATCAAAATATATTGTATTATGAGAAAGTGTGATTCAGCTTTGTGCTGTATAGCAACCTCATCCCTTGGTTGTTAGGGAGGAATTGTCTGGTGATAGCATCACAGTGACTGGCTGGTAAGGCAATAATGAGTTTCTAGGGAGATAGCAGGAAGGAGAGGCTGATACCTTTGCTTGTAATTGGTGGCTTTTTCTTTTGCCTCTGCCAAATATGACTTGTGTTACACGGAGATGCTTACAGAGACAGAAAGAATTCATTCTTGATGGTGTGGCAGTGGATACTATTGCCAGCAGCTACACGAACATCTTGCCCAAGCTGTGGTCTGCCTTGCCTCCTTACAATGCTCAGCTGGACATCCATGCTGCCAGCTACTTCTCATCCCCAGTGGTCAAATCGGTGCTCAAAAGGACCGAACAGGTAATAACACGCCTCAAGGTCAACATGGAAACCTGATTTGGGGCAAGGGCAAGCAGGAGGCTAGAGAAAAACTTTGTGTCCCTTGAAGACAAAAGTCTGCAGACAAAGAATCTGGTTTTTGTCTGCAGACCACAGTGGTTGCACACAGTGTAACAGATCTTCCTCGCCAAACCAAATTGTTGGAATTGCTACAGATATTTTTGGACTCTACTGCTGATAATGCCTCAGTTACAGCTGTTGTATTGGGAAGACTAGTAATACCCTGAATAATCAGTGGATGGGAGACATGGTAAGCCTTGATGCTGCAAGTATGGACTTCATACAGTGATTGTATTTTCCAGGGTGGAATTCTTGAGCCATGAATTCTTGGCTCTAACTACACTAACAATTTTTGGTTTTTTGGCCAAATCGTGAGCAGCATGTTTCCTCTTCAGTGACAGAAAACATTGCAGTGGTGGAATAGTCTTCACAAGTTTTGAATAAAAAGTTAGATGAGCTTCTGAAGTGCAGAACTAGAAAGTTTCCTGTCTTAAAGATCTACCGATGAATACATTCCATCCCACTTAATTGTAAATATAGATTATTTGGGAGCTTTAGTAACTTTCCATTGATAAAACATGAATATATTCCATCTCTTCCCGATCAGATAAAAACCTCCTAAAGTTTGAGTTTATTGAGGTGGCTAACTTCTCCAGATTCACAGTCAGAAGTTCCATTCAGCGTCTGACTTCCATTTAGAGCATATGTGCATTCATTATCTGAGTGTGGCACATGTAACCAGTGCATAACATCAGAAGAGATGCTATGCACTGGTTACCTTTCTGTAGTCTTTGATACAGGTTGGACCCAAGTTGGTAATCCTTTAGTTCAGTTTTTCTCAACCTTGTGCCCTCCAGATACATTGTCTACATTCTTATAGTTGGTCAGAGAATAACAGGAGTTGCAGTCCAATAATCTCTGGATAGCACATGTTGGAGAAAACTGCAACATGTGTTAACATTGGAACAATGGTAAGGAATATGAGTCCCCCCCCCCCCCCCATGTTGGAATGTGTCTTCTTTAAACCTTGGCCAGGATAGCTGAAAGGGAGTGGTGATGACTGGAAAACAACATCTGGAGAGCCACATGTTTCCCACTGGTGCTGTAGGATTCTAGTTAGCTGGGCACATCTTTCTCCTTTCAATATTTAAAACATTTCTTGCATTCTTAGAATGTTTTACCCTTCATTGTTTGATGTTACAAATGCCTCTATGACCTCACTATTGGGAAAGAACGCTTTAGACAATGGGGAAAATTGGAAGGAATCACACTGGCTTCATATGGTATAAATACAAACAGCAGAATTTTTTTTTTTGCATGTGCGGAGTGGAAATTGCAGAAGTATTGTGGCTAATTGATGAGATGGCAGACACATGTCAATATGTAACCAGCACCTTGTCAATTAGCAACCACAGCTTTCACTTCAGCATGCAGTAAAAAGCAATAGGATTCTGTCTAAAGAGTCCTGTGGCATCGTAAAAACTAAAACATTTATTAAAGTCATTTATGAACCAGAATCCATTTTGTGTCACAAACAATGCCCTAAATCAGTATGTAGACCTTGGTAGAAGTTGAAGGGGGGGGGGTTTAAAGAGGCATGAGGTCAGAGGGGAATTAAATGTGAAAAGTATAGACAATGAGTTGCATAAAATGAAATAAATGAGTGGAAATAAGGTTCTGTTGGCTATTCTGCTTTTAGTGAATCACATTTTTTCTAATTTGTTTTTTTCTGACCTCACTTGTCTCTCACCTATCCTACCATAGCATATGTCTATAGATACATCTTGACTATTGTTTAGATCTCATGCTTCATGTAAGAAAAACAACAGACATGGGACATTCCTCTGGAAATGAAAAATATTTAATGAGCGAACATGAAGAATGGGGTTGTCTTAAATACGTAGCATGTCGCTGGTACTAAAGTACTGGGCCAGATTGGTGGGATTGTGTTTTCCTTGTCCTTGTTACAGACCCGTGGAGGAACCTCTAGGGATGGCTGGATAGTGGATTATTTCCACATCTATGGTCCAGGGCAAAGATACCTGAACAGAAGAAACTGGGCAGGAGCAGGTGAGTGACTTTTCAATGTCTCTTTTTATTGCCTTTTACATCATCTTTATTTGCATCTGTCCCCTGATCCATGGCTGTGGTTAATGGGAGTCGTAATCCAAAACATCCAGAGGGCACTAGCTTCCTTTTCAAGTTAGCAGTGATTCAGCAGCATCTGACAAATAAGTATTTGATGCCACAGAAATGTTATTATCAGTCCTCCAGATGTTCTGGCCTGTGTCTCTTTTCAGAATCACCTAGAATAGCTAATGGTAAAGAACTGTGGCAGATGTTGTCCAAAATATTTGGGGCATTTAACTAAAGCCACTTCTCCTCAGAAACAAGGGAAAGGTATTGGCATATTCAGGGAAACACCAGGGTTTCCAGAAGTAGACTTTTTTTTAAAAGCAGGGAGGGAAACTAAGAGAATGTTTGCCGTGCCAACAATCTAATGAAGACTGAATCTTTCAGTGACTACAGCATGTCGAGTGTCTTGGCTTGAAGACAAAAAACAGTAAGGAGGAGGAACAGAATGGAGCCCTGGCAAAGAGGATGTTGAAAGGATGCCTATTTACGAGAGAGCAGTTAGTGTGCCATGAAAAATCAACCAAAGTCTCTTAATTATGGAAATGCAAGCAGACTCGTATCACCATGATGTCCTCTCTTTTGTTGGTTCAGCAAGCCCCAGTGCCTCAGTCCATGCCCTCATTCCCTCAGCCATCTCCCCATCCTGGCCAGTCAAATTCTGATTCCAGCACCAATGTCAACTGTAGTTCAGCCCCATCTCCCAGCACCTTTCTTCTTCCCCAGCCCACCTCTTTAGCCTGTCAGAGTCTGATAGTGGCACAAATATTGTCATGGCAAATGTCTGCTCACTGCTTTCAACCATTCCCTCTACTGGACTTTCATGCTGGCTATCAGCTGGTGTTTCAGAAGAGGTGGAGGCTAACTTTGCTGAGCCCTGAACCAGCTTTCTTCTACCTCCAATGCTGAACTTGGTGGATCTTGGCTGGATTTCTGTCTTAGAAAGGTTGCCTCCACATACACCTTCTGCTACCATCTGGATAGAGCCTCTGCCAACTGGTGCAAACCTCTCTAAGGCAGCCATCTGAACAATGGGGCAGCCTGTGAGAGGACCATGTAAATTTGAGAAGTTTTAAAAAAAAAATATTTTGCAAATGTTGTTTTGAAGGCAATACACATGTGATCAATATCAAGTGGAAATACCTGACTACCATCCTCCACTTACATGGAGTGATGGTGAGGGCCTGGAACATGATTGGAACGAGTGTCTAGTTGTTGGCCTACAACTTGCATCAATGTTAGCCAGACACAATGGCAAGAAATGCTGGAAGACACAGCATAGCAAGTGTTACCCCATGGTGAAGGATTATGGCTGTTGCAGTCCAACAAAGAAAGAAAGATACAGTACATTGTAGAATTAGTTTTTTTATTTTCTTGGTGTTGGTTCTGTTGTTTTTGGATATTTTTTAAATTTAAGTTGCTTTTGAGCTGTGATCTCTTTCAGAGATGACCAATGGAAGGTCCCAAAGCCCATGTGATCAAGCCTCAGCCTCTAGGACAAAGTGCTAAATTTTAACAGTGGTATTTTTGCCACCCAGTGTGATATATTAGATAAAGCACATCTGGACTATCTAGTGTGACAGAGTGGTTAGAGAAATGCAATATGACCCAAGAGACCTGGGTTCACATTTCTGTTTAGCCAGAGAAAACACTGTGTCGGGCGTGGACAGAACTTGTATAACCCATCCTTAAATATCTCAGTTGCCTTGAAAGCCCTTTTGAGATAATAATAAGCCAGTCTCAGGTCAATGGCACTTAACCCACAACTTTTCTGGCCACAATTTGATAAGGATTTTAATTTCATTTCTAAGAAAACAGAAATTATAGATTTGAATTTCACAATTTTTTGTCTTTGCTTACCATGTGGATAGTAATTGGTTTGGGTTTTTTCCCCCTCTCCTCCTTTTTTATTTATAGGTCATTCTCCACAACAAGTTGCTGGTCATCATTACTATCTGATGGAGGTAAAGGCTGTGAATGGGTACGGTGGCCGATATGGTTACCGCCGCAATACTCCCGACCTCCGTACACGCTCCTCTTGCTTTGGTGAAGTCACGTGCCTCCCCATCCACTGAAGAAACAGGACGTCCTCTGTCCCGTCCTCTGACTATATTGTTGACTCTTCTTTCCCCCCCCTGATTTTTTTCTGAAATAATAAAATACACTCAGTTTTCTTATGTGAACAGTTAGTCGCAGGTGATGATGGGGAAAAGGTGGCGTTGACACATGGTGAAAGTGGTCCTCTCCATACAATTTTTTAAATGTGTGAATTTGCTTGTAAAAGTTATGCATTTTGTTAGATTGTATCCCGCTGCATTTATTTCAGCCATCCACACAATAAACCTTCTAAGGAACCAGTGGTTTTCCATCTTCATCAGAACTCACAGAACAGAATTTAATTGGGGTTTTGGCTCGGCAATCGAACTGGTTCATACTCAGATCAGTTTTGATCTTCTGAAATTTTTTTAAAATCCTGATTCTGTTTCCAGAAACATTTTTGTTCCATGTTAGCAATTGGAGATGTTAATATGATCTCATGGCATCAGCTGAAGAACGATGTCCTTCTGGAAACTAACGAGTCTTACCTGGCTGTTTTTAAAATCAGAAATTTCATCTGTCTTTCTTTCTCAGAGTCATCTTTTATAAATTAATAAAGTATCAGGACAGAAAGGCAATTGATTCCTCATTTGCAATTTTCTCCTGTGGAACTGCCTCAGTCATGTTGCACCCTGTTCTGAAGAAAAATGTGTGATTATTATCATGTTCTTATGGCAAAGGGCTCATTCAGCACCATTATTCAGTTGGGTCAGATAGACAAGCACATAAAAATCCATTTGGACATATCCGTTGATGGCCTTTGGGCCTCATTTATGGATTCAATTACTCTACCTCTGTTTCACTCATTTTATTTTCCTGACTAACACCAATCTAGGAAACCTGAGAAAAAACATACTGTATTTGGATTAGCTTCCAGTTTAATTATTGGGAAACCCTGTTGGTGAATTTACTTCTACCTTATGTGCCATTCATCTCAGAATTTATTCTAGCGCCTTCTCTGCACATTTTTAATTGTAAGTTGAGTTGTTTCGAATGCCTGACTATCAAGTTAATTCCTTAGATTTATTTCATCATCTAATTTCTTCCTCCTCTTCCTCTTTCCTAATAATCTGAATTTTTTATTTCAGTCTTCTTGCTAGGTATTCCTCTTGCTAAGTGTTCCTCTAAGTTCCTCTCCAGCTAGGCGGCTCCATGGTTCAAATGCAGTCAACTGAACAACCATGACACCATCCGAGAATCTAGCTTTAATTCTTTCTGTTTCCCATTTGACTTGATTTGTGTTGCCCATGTCCTTAGCATTCTAATTATGTACAGATGCTCTGCTGTGGATCAAAGGGAGTCGAGTTGGATACTCAAAATTTGCTTAACAAAAATTTAAGAGGAAACAAAGTCTTATACTACTTTTACAACCTTTACAGTTAGCAGGTTCATCTTCCAGATGCCACAAAAATTTATTTCCCTTTCTTATTAAAGTTTTGTTGTTATACATGCTGAATCACACCTATATCTGAAAAATTACAATTTACTGTACTATATTGCTTTAGTTGTAAAGCATGCTTTTCCAAAGAATCTTTACTTTGTGCAGTTCTAGCCAATATAGTCTTTTGCTAGGCAATTATGGTTTTATGTTTTCCCTTTTTTAAAACTGTATCACAGATATTTTCCCTACCAGCTATTCGAGTTTTGGACTGCTTCTGTAGTTCTCCTCTCCCATGGCATTCATTGTCATCTATTGCTGTTTTCAGTGGGAACCCCTCATCTAACTATACTTTCTCAAACCTTTTGAGATCTCTGCTTCCCATAACAGTTTGGGAATAATACTATATTTTAAGGTTCAGCTAGTGTAACGGTGTTCTAGAGTTGGAGGCTGCTCTGACTTTTCAACATTAGTCTCTTTATTCTTAAAGAGTAGAAAGAGTTAATAGAAACATCCATGGATTCAATACCTTTTTTAATGTATGAATTATACAAATCCAAAATTTTGCAGGTTGCATCTCACACATGCAAAAGAACGAGTTCAACAGTGTAAAATGGATCTAATAAACTTATCTCTGGCAAAACGTGGTATTTCTTAACTCTTTCACCAACACTAACTCCCCTTTCTTTTAGAAGGGAGCCGGACCAAAGCGTTCTCTGTACGTCATAGGTCTCAGGGGGGCACTCCGCACTGCGCAGACCGTCCCACAACATGGGTTGCGTGCCCAATCCCCCTCGGGTGGTTTCCGAAGAAAAGAGGGACCAGGATGGATCACCCTCCATCCCCCAGGGTGGTTTTGAGGGTACACGACCACTGTCCATTCCAAGGTTTTAAACTCACGTCCTTGTGCACCGGCTAGAGTCGGATCTGGTAATAATCCGCCTCCTAACTGTAGGTTAGGAAAGTCCTTTAAGATTCTGGATGCCTCTCCGAAGTCTTGCATGGGCTCTGTCTGTACCCCGCGACTTCTGGTCTTTTCCAATTCCCCATCCGTTTCCAGACTAAAAAACGTGCGTGCTTTCTCCCTCTTTTATCTCCTCCCATACTATTAGATCTAGCTCCTCCCCTCCTTCACCCACCAAGCACACTTCTGCTGGTACTGGTGGCACCACCTCCTCCTGATCTATTTCTATCAGCATTCCCTCCGCGCATCCGCTTTCAGTCACTGTGTTCTGTGACTCGGAGGATAGCACACTGCTCTTCTGATCTTCACAGCTAGAGAGTAGAAAGAGTTAATAAAAACATCCATGGATTCAATACCTTTTTAAATGTATGAATTATACAAATCCAAAGTTCGCAGGTTGCATCTCACACATGCAAAAGAACAGGTTGCATCTCACAATGCAATGCCTTCCGAAACCTTTATCCTCTTTTTTATATTGATTTTAATCATCCTCAACTAGACAAAACCATAGCAAGCAAAAACCTGCCAGATTAAAGATTCCTTTGCTTTTGACCCCTGCGGCTATCGGGAACTTCTTAAATCTGGGGCACTCAGAAGACAGGTCAGTTCCTCCCATTCTCTCCTTATCCTAAATGTCATCATCCCCATTATCTTTGCTGTTCCTTCCTTCCAGTCCATCTGCTTGTCAGGTGCAACTATAGGAAATCAGCACTGTTACCAATGCATATTAATTGTGTGGTTATGAAATTCCTCAACAAACCATGGGGAACATTTCCTTAGCTAGATGATACTCATTCTTCCTGATTCCTTCAAACCTTCTCCCTTGTCACTGTGGCTTCATCTGTTTCTTCCCTAGCTGTGTTTGGAGCAGGAAGACAGGGAGTCACCCTGTTGCTGACTCACTGCTAAGGAACCTTCACCCTTTTTCACAGCATGGCCCCTAAAAGAGGAGGGTCTTCCAACTTCCTCAGTAGTTAGTAGCCTCTCTCTCTCTCTTTTCCCAGCCTAGGCTGCAACACTCTGTGTCCCAAGAGAAGGAGGCTCAGCAACATGTGATCTATATTTCCCAGGCTCCCCACCAGATGGAATATTACTCTTCTAATGCTGAAGACCTTGGGAAATGTAACAGCCACTGCAGCCTTCCACATGCCAGAGGGCGAGGGACAGGGAGGCAGAGGGGGAGCACCCCCTGTCCCTGCCATAGCCACAACCTGAGCCAGAGGCAGCTTGGCAGATGTGTGAGAGTGAGAGGGCAGTTTACAATCCATGTGACCGTCAGAAGGGTGCCCTGTTTGGATTCTGAACTGGGGATTCTAGGGCTCAGAGGCAAATGTTCTCCCATGCATCAAACCTCCCTTGGGTTTGCCAGATGAAATCATAGACCGGTAATCTGGAGTCCAAATGCCAGCAGGATGGGGAAGGGGCAGAGAGTGAGGGAAGGAGGAAGAGAGGAAGGCTGCTGGAAAGGTATAAGATCCTTATGAGGATCGGCTGATGTTAGTCTGTGGTGTGAACAGAACCATAGGATTGCATTCAACACACAAAATATTCACTTGCTAAAATTGCTGTGGAAAAAGAATGTAAACATAAAGGTGAAGGCACACGTCAACATTTAAGGTGGCCTGTGTGAAATCACGAGGGAGCTACAGAGCCACTAGGCTCGGGGAACTGCTGGCAACCATATACTGTATCCTTTCATGCACTGTCCAGACTTGGTAGACCTTCCTTTCTAACGCAGAGAAAACACAGTAAGTGTAGCAGTAATATGCACCATCTTCTTTTGGCTCCTAGAGTTTCTATAACATCTGAACTTATAGCAACCAGCTTTCCTGCATTTTATACAAATAAGGCTCTGAAGTTCATGGTGGCAACCTTTTTTTGGGCAGAAATTGTAATATGTCAGTGCTAGGACACTTGCTTCAGAAGTTCATGCTACTCCACCAATTATTAATTCTATGATACTGCAATTTGGAATGGCCTTGTAGATACAGGCTGCTAGATCAGCTTGTTCCTGAAGCAGCAGAATACTGTACATGGTCTCCCATGTAGTAGGAGATCCGACAGAAGGAAGGAAAGGAGCCCAGAATGGAAGGAATTGCCCAGGTTCTTCCGAAGACCTTTCTACTTATTCAGGCAAGCTTACAGCAATTGGGCACTCATGCAGAGGGGGCTTTGAACTGGTGAGTGGTATTTTTTATTTAACTGATGTCCTTTCTAACTATTACGATTTCTTAACTGCTTTTTAGTTTTACAGTGTCTTGAGAGTTTCATGCTATCTGATTTTTAACCTTGCTATGCTTTCAGTGCCAGTTTTGTGGGACAGGACAGATGGAAATCAAAGAAATAGATTTTTACAAGGCACTAATTCTCTATGATTAAAAAACATTTTATGTTCTCATTCATTTTATTAATGTTTTTCCCCAGTGTGATTTATCTTTGTCTGTTATTCCTTTTTAAAACACGGTTTATTTATATTTGGTGAAAATATTATTTGGGTTTTTAAACTGTTGTAAAGCACAGAAAATAAATAATACACATTTAAATAATCAAAAGAAAGATACATATTTATTTAATTTGTAAAAAGAGAAGATACTACCATTTAACTTTTAACATAAAGAAATGTATGGTCACATTGGGTGACTTACAAAAAAGGAGGTTGATTTAAAACATTTCTGGAATTTATGTAAATCGGCCAAATGTGGAGAGTCCAGATTTTTTTCTTGCAACCTGAGGTGGGTCTCAGGCCAAGCAAGACAAATGACTTTTTCAACCAGATCAACCTCTATGGAAAACACTGGTGCTGCAGGATGGTCGCTACATTAGATAGCTTCAGAGGAAAGACTGGACACCAATTTGCAAAAAAGATGGATTCTTCCAGTTGCCACATTTATTCCACCTTAAGGACGGGGTTGTGGACTGATCTTTTCAGAACTTGCCCTGATGTTCAAACCATGGTCCTCTCATCTTGCCTTATAAGGACTTTGTTTTCTAAAAACCCACTCTTTTCTCCCTTCCAAAACTGTTTATTTCTTGTGCCACTTTATTACAGAGGTGAAATTTCAGGCTAAGTCACTACTGTTTGTTGAGGCTTTGGCAGAGATGCTGTGAGACAGAATTACTTCTCTTCGCTTCTGGTGGTTTGGTTTTTATAAGGTAGTTCAAAAGCCAAGACTCCAATCTCCACTCATTCTCAGCTGGTGCCAGCTATCATAGCACAGCATCATGTTTGTATGTTACTTCCACTAGCAAGTTGGACGAAATGCATGCATCAACCTGCTCTCTCCCTCGTCTTCTCTCTTTGCTCCTGGTGTGCCCACAATTGGTTCACTGGGAGTTGCAACTCAGGAGCCTCTTGTGCTCCACAATCCTTACCCCATCAACATAAATCCTGGAAAAAGCTCTTACTTCATCTTTTTTTAACATTACAAAGGTCTGATCCTCAGGTCTCATATTTTGACCATGAATTCTCAAAGAATGAGATGCTCTGGAATGTTCAGACAACTCCCATGACGAAGGACCAGGATGGTGGAAGTCATTAATACAACATCTTAAGGGATTCAAAAAAAAAAGCTGTCACAGGGGCTGAGTTGTAGCAGAAACAGCCAGCATGAAAGTTTTCCTTTTTTCCCCCTGTCTTAAAATCAGTTTCCCTTTGGTGCTCATAAAAGAAAAATAATGTACGGCACGTAGAATTAGGTATACATGTATGTGTATGTATGTACACAGGCATCATATTCTCCCCCTTTCAATACGGATTCATAAAATCCGTATTTACACATCCACAGCCAAGTGATATACACCGTTACGACCACGACCACGCCCACAGCCCCCTTCAACAGGGTCCCTCACCTACTTCCGTTCTTCTTCTGTCAGTTCCGGTTGCTGGAGCCGGAATCAGGAGATTGCGTCATCACTCTGCGCCTGCCGGAGCAAGGCTGCCGAAAGCAGAGAACGAAGGAGCGACTTTGCGGTTGTTCGGTTCGCGGCTGTCGCCATGGGGGGCGGCGATCTGGTGAGGAAGCGGGGTGGGTTGGGGGGTAGGCTCGTGGGCGGCGGGGTGATGATTGCCAACGATGGCCTTTCTCCCTCCGGAGATGTTAAGGGAAAACACAGTTGAAGGAGCTATGAGGGTCTGGGGATCTTTTTCTTACAAATGTCTGTTAATAAGATTCGGGAGGTGATTAGGAGAAACTCATTAGGCTTCAAGTGGCGAGGGTCTTCCAGGTAAACATGAGACTAAACGTGTTGTGGCCTTGTTTTCGGTGAGAAAAGACTGGCCAACCTGTTGTTTGTTTATTAGTTACTTTCACATCCCTCTCTTCCAAAGAACTCAAAGAAGTAAAGATTTGTATTTCTTCTCCTTGACTTCGTGGAAGTTGGTGAGATCAGTTAAGCTGAGAAGGAAGGATTAGCCACCAAGTGAGTTTCATGGTTGAGTTGGGGATTTAAATCTGGCTCTTTCACATCCCCTGCCAAGACATGAATCACTACATCAGCCTGGTGTTTGAATTTTCATGTCAAGAATATGAATGAGGTTCTTGAAATGCAGTGTGTTTGGAAGCAACAGATTTTTCTTCTTTGGAAGATAGATTAGTTAAAGGGAGTTGGGTGGTAGAATTATAGGGAAGGGCACCCCTTCCATCTTGTATGCTGTAGCAGCTGAAGTCTTGTTACATAACTTACAGTTTTGTAAGGCTGATGATGTCATCAGCAGGGATGATTTTCCGAAAACTAGACATTTTGTATTTCTGTCCTATGGCTCCCATGTAATCTGTTTAACTGTCAGGAAGTAATGGGAGCCACAAAATGGGAGGAGGATATATTTAATCTTAAAATTGCCACTGCCAGGGTGACTTTACTTGGTGATGCCAGTTGTCAGTCCTATAGCTCCCACTGCTTCCCAGCAATGAAAGGGATTGCATAGGAGCCTTAGGACAGGACTGGGAATTATTAAATTTCGGAAAATCACCCCTGCTGATGATATCATCAGCTTTACACAGGCATAAGTTACAGAACAGGATTTCAGCCTAAGATTTTCTCTCCATGTATGTGTCTTGGAGATATTTGTTATTTGGTGCAGCACTGAAGCAGAAAGTTATAATCTGTTTTATATTAATAAGTATGTTCTTATCCACAGAACCTCAAGAAAAGCTGGCATCCACAAACCTTGCGTAATGTGGAAAAAGTTTGGAAGGCAGAACAGAAACATGAAGCTGAACGGAAGAAAATTGAAGAACTGCAGCGGGAGTTGCATGAGGAGCGAGCGCGAGAAGAAATGCAGCGTTATGCAGAAGATGTGGGCGCTGTCAAGTATGTTGGGAAAGATTTCATTGGAGGAAAACCTTTTTTTATGACATAACAGATGTTATGATTAGGGGTGCTTTCTTATGCTAATCTAGCAATGACCACAGCAATCAAAAGGAATATGAAGCATGTAGTGTTTCTTTCAGTCTCCTTTATTCAGTGCTCACCTCTGGTCATGGAAGCTAGTTCATTATGAAGATTGCCATAATTACCATGTGGCTTGTAGGTACAGTCCTCTCAAAACCGTCTGTTAAGTGTCCCTAGCATAGGCCAGTCCTCTTCCTGTGGAATATCCAGAGCACACACCACTGATGAACAGACACAATCTGAACACTTTTTTAAAAATGTAAAATACATGCTGTTTTTCAACGGAAAAGACTCCGATTGCGCTCTGTAAGTGGAATTCTCGTGGAAAGAGTGAGACTTCGGCTAAACTTAACCGTTATTGCTTGTATGAGAGCAGGACTTTAGTGTTGTGATGTTGTGTATGTGGAGTGCTGTTCCCTCACAGATGAGGCACATTTTAAAAACATTTGTGCAGGCTTTCCTTCTGTAGGCCAACCTAACATCCTTTTAATAGATTATTTAAATACCGGAGGTTAATGTATGTGTCATGTATTTCTGTGTGTTGTCCTGTCTGTTTGTGAACTGTAACTTTCCAATCTGAGCAGTTTATTACTTTCACTCTGTAGATTATTTATGTAAACATTTTAATTTTCGATGTGATTTATAGTTTTGATAACATTTGACATTATTGGGTGAGGTGCTTTTACTTAGGGGCAAAAAATCCAGCTGCACAAATAGAACTGATTCCCAAGCTACTTCAAGGAGACAGTTTATTGAGGGAAATTGTCCTGCTGGTGATCAGGATGCAGAGTGGCAATAAAATTGTTCTTCCTCTTGTAGACATGCCCTTTCCCGGGAATATGGATTTGAACAAACATGCAAGGGAGAGAATATTGAATTTATCTTTTGGGGCCAAGATAGTCACTGAGGAAGAGTTTCCTCAGCATCTTAAAATTATTGTTTACCAGTTTTGGGGGGGGGGAATGCTTGAGATGACATTTATTATATACATTAGTATTCTTGCATTTTTATATTGTGCCCATATCTCATAGATCCCATTTCTAGGCGAAGGACATAATGCTTTAAAAGTCCAGCTATATACTACTAGTAATATATGAAGAAAATGCATCAAAGTCCAATTCAAACTGTATTTTGAAAATAGAAATTACTGTTTTCTGCTTAAGTCTCATTAGCTATTAATGTAGAGCCTGAGTAGTTTCCTTCCGTAACAATTTACTGTAGTAGTTCAAGTAACTCTTGTCTGTCGTGTAATCACCTTGGTTTTCAAGTTGATTGTTTGTCCCTTTCAACTCCCAATTAATTAGGAAAAGAGATGAAAAGCTGGAATGGATGTACCAAGGACCAGGAGGCATGGTGAACAGAGATGAATATCTTATGGGCCGTCCAGTTGACAAATATGTCTTTGAGCCAATGGAGGACAAGGAAGGAGGCTGTTCTTCTGAGACTGGCCTTCTGCCAGGCTCTATTTTTGCCCCCACAGGTGCCAACTCTGCCCTGGATATGGCCAGCAAAATTCGGGAAGATCCACTTTTCATGATAAGGTATGTACGACAGATGCTTTGATTTGGGAACCAATTGGTGCCCTGACTGGTTGCTAAATTTCAAAGGAACTGTGGGCTGTCTAGCATGACCATGCAGCAAACTTTTAATTTTGCTCATATGTCTCCTCAGTGTTTCACCATATAATGGTGTGTAGCATCTAAAAAATGTAGCAGAGCTGTTAATCTAAAGATTTGTTCAGAGCTGGGATAAAACAGTGTTTGTTTGTTTGATCTTTATTGGTGCATAGGAACTTAGGTTTGACCCTTATTTAAATCTATTCCTTTCTTCTTTAGGAAGAGAGAAGAGGAGAAGAAACGCGAAGTTCTGAACAATCCTGTAAAAATGAAGAAGATCAAAGAATTGGTAGGGGGTAATGCCGAAAGCTTTGAGAAGGGACAAAATAAGAACTACATAAAACTAAATTCTAAGGCTGCAATCCTCTGGAGCTGTAGCTGCAAGGATTGTCTTCTGAGTAAATATGCAAAGGATTGTAGTGTTTGCTGTTTGTATCAAATTGTTACAGCAAGGATTAAAATTCCAGGTATTTTTTTGAAGTGAGGACAAAACAGCAGCTTCAAATTTTTAAGTATGCAGGCAGCCTACAGTCTTGCATTCTTTCTGCACTGATCTGTCAGGGTCACAAGAAGAGAGATTGACATGGGAGGGTATTATCCAATAATGCTTTAAATCAGTGGTCCCCAACCTTTTTGACACCAGGGACCAGTTTAGTTGAAGACCGTTCTGCCAAGGATTGGGGGGGGGGAATACTTGTTATGCAGTAGGTTGTTGGAGGATAGCTTTGAATTGAACTCATAAAGGAAATGGCGAGCAGGAGGTGAGCTGCAATGGAAGCTCCACCTCCTGTCAGATCAGCAGCGGCATTAGAACCTAATAGGAGCATGCTGACAGGAGGCGGAGCTTCACTTGCTGCTCACCACTCATCTGTCTTGGTTGTCTAGTCTTTCCAAGGCCATGGACCGGTCAGCAGCCCAGGGGTTGGGGACCCCTGCTTTAAATGGTTCCAGTACATAATGGAACTTACGTCTCTTGTCCCCGCTTCAAATGTTCTAGTTGCAAAGCAGTTTGGAGAAGAAGAAAAAGAAGAAGGAGAAGAAAAAGAAGCACAAGAAACACAGACACCACAGCCCTAGCAGCAGTGAAGATGAACATATTAAAGCCAAGTATGTTTATGCACAACATATCACTGTTCTGGTTTACGTATTGGCCAGAATATGTAAACTTTGTGTAAGGTTTGCATAACTTGCTGCACCTAATTGATAAGTTTTGGTTGTGTTCAGATATTATTGTATCAGTTCATGTCATGTGCTCTTTGTGTCATTGTCCCCATCCTAAGGGGCAGCCTCAGACTGGGTTGACGTGTTGCAGGGGACCACACCACTCTTTAAATGGCCTTAAATAGACCCAGATCCACCCACGGGACGGTTCTGACTCCTCCTGCATTCTGTCCTGGTCCATAATCATCTTATTTTAAGTGGCATAGTGCTACATTACTGTTGCAGACAGAAAGACTCTAGCACCTGTATGATGCAGTGCTAAAGTCAAATGGTTTATTAATTTTTTTTTTTAAGGGAAACAGTTTGCATAGCAGGCATAATTACTGATTTCCTAATAGGACGGCATCCCATACCATGTGAAACACATCGCCAAGATGTCAACACAAGGAATACCCCTGCACACAGATTAAAATGACATAGACATTCACACAATCTCCTGTTGGGTGTTAAAAAAGAAACGATTCCTCAAAGAACAATGTGAATTTTCCCTGTGTTTGCAATAATGTCATATAGTTGGGGAAATGTGAATTTATTTGTATTGTGCTAAACCTAAGAGTTATTGGAGGAGTACATTGCAATGTTGTTGCACACTGAGATGATGCACTCAGTAGTTTACCAATTAGCAGCAGCAAGTTGCAGAAATGTTATGCAAACACTCTTAGGATTCTGGCTGTTGCTTTATACTCTTAGTTTTTTGGCCTTGTGGAGTAATGTTTTGCCATTCCTATTTTAGAGGTGGATAGCGAAGATTAGGTGATTTGCCCTACATTTCAAAGCTAGTATTTGAATCCATGACCATTTGAGTCCATGTCCAAACCAAATCTTCTCCACAGAGTGACCACGGCTCTCTGAAGTGAGGACTGGCAATCTAGTTGCCCAGGGTGTTCACAAGTTCCTGCAGAAAGACAGCAGTGTCTCTTCTCTATGGCTTGACAGAATTACATACTTAGACATCTTTATCCTGCGTCTGACAGGATCCCTCAATACATCCTGATCCTTATAAGATCTCTACATGTATTCTGATCCGCATCCTTCAGTCTCCAATTTGCCTTGTATCTCTTCCTCATTCATGAAGTATCTTAAAATTTTGCCAGGCCCTTGGGAGCTTTGTAGTGGCTTGACTTGGACCCAGAAGAATTTAGAATTAGGGTACCTGAAAATAATTAGAAAACTTTTACCACCACCCTGGCTTAATAACACAATCAGACTGATAAAGTCCTGTTGTTGTTTTGTTTGTTTGTTTGTTTGTTTGGCCTTAGGTCACGAGAGAGAGTTGACAATTCACTGGAGCCTCTTCACTCCAAATTGCCACAATATGGCTTGCAAGTATGTATAGCTGCCTGCATGTTGCCCAGAGGGTGCCCTTTACTGTCTTGAGGGGGGGGGGGAAGAGTTAAGTCACTTAGTGGCATGGCTGCTTCTGATTCTGCACTTACTCCCAAAGGTGTTTGTATGTAAACAACCCCAGGAAAAGAATTGCACGTGTTAATCAGTTAAATTTGTTCTCATGTCCTTTTTTTGGGGGGGATTTTTTGTACAGCATTATTTTCTCTGGGTGATAGCAGTAGGTTCAGCATTAATATCTATTTTGTCATTCTAGGTCCGAGATACTGGCCACAAGAAGGTACCATTTGAGAAGCCCCAAGGGAGGTCTGCATCAAAGGGCAAATGCCTTTCACCCGAGAGGAACTCTGACACCAAGAGAATAAATCAGGTGGAGACAAGCAGTCGCAGGAGGTCGAGATCACCCAACCAGCACAGACAGTAAGCCATACTCAGATAGCTGCTGCTCCTTTCCTTTATTGAATACATAGTGTAACAGCCACCTTATACCTCACAAAGGGGCCGTTACGTCACACTCAATCACTCTTCGTTTCCACTGCCACCAACCATTCCCTCAAATAAAGCTTCAGGCCAAAGTATGATTTCAAAATAAAAACTTAGGTTTATTGTGTACAAACAAAAGGAATGGTAAATCACTTGAACATAAATAATAAAGCAATCACTATAATAATATAACCATCACACACACACACTCTCACAGACCCTCACTATATAGCACAGTTCTTATCTCACAATATCTCCTAGCCCTATCTCCCTATTTCAACCCTATCTCAAAGCCCTATCTGGCCCTATCTGAATCACTCACACCATTCACTCCCCTTATATACAACAGCTCCACCCCTTATGTCCCACCCTCTGTCACGCCATTGGTAGATGACACACAGCTTCAGCAGTGACGGGCAGTTTTATTGTGACAGCCTCCTCTCACGTCACAAAGGAGCTGCCACGTCACTCTCACAACCTCACTTTATTCATGCTGCCACCAACCATTCCCTCATAAAACTCTTCAGACAAAAGTATGATTTTTAAAATAAAAACTTATGTTTATTGATAATAACAAAAGGAATGGTAAATCACTATAATAATTAAAATAAAAGGCAATCAGTATAATAAAGTACCCCCACACACACTCTCTCTCAGACCTTCATTCTAATATATAGCACAGGACTACACAACATGTACAAGACCTAACTCCCTAAGTCCCTATCCAGACCCTATCAAGTCCCTATCTAGTCCCTATCTCAAACCCTATCTGAGTCACACCTCATTCACTCCCCCTTAAATACCTTAGCTCCACCCTCTTAAGTTCCCACCTCCCGTCACACTAGCTGTATGTAACACATAGTATGACAGTGTGGAAGCTGGTCAGCTTCATCCTAGTTTGTGGTTGTTTGCATCTGGTTGGGATGTGATCACAAAGCAAGCCGGGATCTGACTTTTCTTGGAAAACCATTGCCATGCCTCTAGTATACATTCAATTATATCACAAAACGAGGAATGGGCAGGAGGGTGGAATGTCAGTTTCTTTGGTACTGAATGTGGTTTTTTTGTTTGTGTGTGTGTGTGTGGTGAAAAGAAAATTTCTCCTGCATTGCAGGCATAACAACAAGGATCCTAAAGCAAAGGGAGGAGGGAAGAGTCCTTCTCCAAGGAGAGAAGGCTACAGAAGACAACAGTCGTCAAGGTATTTTGGGTGGTGGGAACAGAGCCATGTGCTATGCAATAAGTAAAGGAGGTTGTTCCAGGAAGAACTGCAACCCATGTGGGAAACTTGAAAACTGATTAGGGAAAGGAGTTTAAAATAGTCATAGAACCTTTTTGCTTCTTAAAAGTGCAGATGCTGTTCACACTTTTTCAGCAGCACCTTTCTGGATATTCCAGAGCAAAAACCTATCTTTGTCATTAACAAATTACAGTTTATAATCCTCTGGCTCATTGCAGAGATTACAACTCAGAGCACTTTAAATTGCATTGTTTTTCCTTCATCCAAACAAATACTAAACTGGAGGTTTAACTTTTAAAGGAAATAGGTTTTCTGGATGATCTAATATCCAGTTGTGCTTTTACAATTACACACATATATATTGCCAGTTGAAGACATATCCCTAGAAACAGGAGTGCCTCTTTAAAACAGCCAGCAGAGAGGTCTGTTGCATGTGGCTTTATTATTACACTCTTTATTATGACTTCACATGTTGCTAGAACAAGTCCAGATACTGCAGATACTTTCCAGAATAAGTCCTGGATTTAATCAGTTACATTTGGTGTATCACCACCATTGAGTAGATGGTCTCTGATTCCCTACTTATTATAAACCTATCCTTGTAGTCCCTGTTTCCATTTACATTAGCTGATAGAAAGGGATTTACTCAGACAATTTGTACTTGAGTTGGGGCTTGTTGTGAAGTTTGGTCAAATACTCTGTTGTGATTCTAGCTTCAAAGTCCTGTACATCTGAAGTCAGTCTTGTCTACTTTAAGCAGAAAGCTCTCAGCAGAAGAGCTAGAGAGAAGACGTCAAGAAATGATGGAGAATGCCAAGTGGCGGGAAGAGGAAAGAAAGAACAATGTGAACAGGCACAGAAAAGAGGAGGAGCGAGAGCGAGCATTGGAGAAGCTGAGTCGCAGTGATGGGAAGTTCATACAGTGAGTGTCCTAATTCCCTTGGCCTCTAAAATTGAGGAGAATCTTGGAGCATATGCTTTGTATGCCAGGTTCAGTCCCCAGCATCTCCAGGTGTCAGTACTGAGAGATCTGAAAGACCTCTGCTTTCAGGAAGGCTGCTTTCTGGCACAATAGAGAACACTCCTTGTCTGATTTACTGCAGCCACCTCATCTCCTATAAATGGTCAGTTTGAAAACTAAAGTTAGGTCTTTTGCATTACTACACTGGTCAGAACACCTCCATCTTTCTTTCCTAATGTTTAGATGGTGTTAAAAAGTTGAGGGATCAAGTAATTTCCCAAACTTGCAGATTTTTTCTTTCTCCTATGAATACAAATCAGAGTACCTCTTCAATCTTTATGATACAGAGGTTAAGTAGACGATGTGTCCATGTCAGCTCTGCCATGGCTTGTTAAGTCAGTTTTGGCATAGCTTTCACTTCCGGTTTTCAAGATGGAATGTTCACACCCATTCACCAGCTGAGCACACAAGTTTATGAATGGCAATCAAAGCATAGGAGTATGGTGAGAACTGCCTATACTTATGGCAAGACAAGAGTGGAAGGTAGTGAAGTTTCTCTCTCCCACCCCAGATCCTGTCTCTTCTCTCAAGGGAAGGAATGGAGCCAGTATGTTTGTACAGTATTTGTTTTCATAACTTTTTCATATTACATATGTACTGGGAGTAAAACATGTTTAAATTAAATATTTTAAAATAAATTCATATCTCGAGAGTTACTTTTTCACTGTGATTGAAATTCTGCACAGTGGGAATTTAACTACCCGTTAAAGCCTTCCTTTTGCAATTTTGGGGTGCACATGACTTCTTCACATTGTGTACAAGCAGTATGCAGACTGAAATCATAAAAGGAGGTACAAATCCACAGCAGTCTACTGCTGCCAATAATATAATTTCCATTGTGGAGGTAGACCTGCACAACAGGATTTCAGCCTGACAGAATAAAGTTTTACGTGTGGGGAGATGTGTGTGGTTAAGCTACTTTTATGACGAAATTAGAATTGGTGATGATAAGTATTGGAAAGAAGGATGTGCAGGTGAAAGAATCTATACAGATTTTATATCCCTGGTTCACACGTGGAGCAAAGAAATATAACGAAAATGGGAAAGGTACTTGCTGAATGTCTTAAATGGTTGATAAGTACAGGTAATGCCTAAACTAGATTACATATTCTGACCACAGTTGTTTAGAAGGTACTGATGATAAGCCAGAAACATGAGGATATTAAGTAATTCATGAACTATAGTTCGTTTATGCAATTAAGAGTGGCTTGAATATAAGATCAATACAGGTTTAAGTTTATATATTGACAATTTATGTATGTTAATTATTGGAGGTTATGTAGTCAGAATTATATATCAAATGGATTTGGCCTAAAGATGTTAAGTAGGGGAAGATGGTACATGCAGTCAGTATTGTATGTTAGATGGATATATGGAAAATATTCTCCCCAATTATGTGTTTTGTGCTTGTTTTGTATGTCTGTTTGTGTTATTAATTAATAAAGAAAAAGAAAGAAAAAAAGGGGGAAAAACATTTCCAATCTCTGGTTTAAGGAACACATAATAAAAGTAGCCAGATTACAAGGGAATAATATCTATGATAGATAGACATAACTGGGATCAATAAAGAGAAAGTGAAATCGTAGTGGGACAGCAAACAAAGTGAAATTCCAGTTATTCAGACAAGACTCAGCTCAAGACCTGAGCATTAGAGTGACTCTGATAGTGGTGAGCCACAGTCCGATAAATACGAAAATGGAGGCTGTTCAGGGATACGTGGTGTGAGAGGAGCAGCAGAGAAATGAGTACCTAGAATAGAGGAAAAGATAGCAGATATACTTCTATTCTTGAACTAGAATATTTCGTATTTTGTATCTCCTCTTGCCCTTCCTGCAGGTATTACTAGGTGGGGAGGAGTCCCAACAGTTTGGCACTACTCTGTACTTGAGTCTTGTTTCTCCTCAACATGTTTCTTTCTTTTTTCTCTGTGCCAGCTTTCTTTTGGGGACAACTAAAAATGCCATATAGCTGCAAAGGTTGTTTTTACTATCATTAACACATATCCTTCTGTGTTTCTCCTCTGCTGCAGCCATATAAAGCTGGAGAGTGCATCCACCTCCTCTCTGGAAGACAGAGTCAAGAGGAACATTCACTCTATCCAAAGGACAGCAGCAGCACTGGAAAAAAACTTCATGAAGAGATGAAATCATCTTCCTTCACTAGAACCACTATGGACTTGCTTATCTGGGATACTTTTTTTTACCTCAAGGAGATGGCAAAGAGTCTCACAGCTATGAGGGAAAACTATTAAAAGATCTTAATAACATTTTCCCCCTGTGTGAGAGACCTTGTGTCGGAATGTTGTGAGGGAGTAAACTGTGATGCTTTGCTTCAAACACAGTTTCCCCTCTCCAGATTAAGGTATTTTAATGATTAGTAAGTAGTTCCATCTTGTCTTTAAATTTTATGTACTCCTTACAAGCCATTTTAATTGTAGCCCCTGCCCCGTATTTGATGCCTCATAATTTAATTCAAAGAAGCTATATAATTTAGGCGAGAGGGCACCAGGTAAAGGAAGACTTTTAAGTTGGCACCAACAGTGCATGTGATGAATAGGAAGCAGGTGACAGAAATGGCTGTTCTTTGGTACTTCTGATGAAAAAGAAACGCCACAGAGATTTTACTAGCTGATATAGTTCTGCTCCTGTTTAAGTTCTTAAAGGGCAAGGTGCATCTGAATTTGGACCTGTCCAAACTAATGAGGCCCCATGGATAGTGCTGGGCTTTAGTTTGTACCTTGTTGAGTTTGTTTTTCCCACCTCTCTAAAGTGCTGTTGGGACAGACTCTTAAGGACTCTTAACTTTTAAGGAAGAGTTTATTTCCCCCCCCCCAATGCTTTTTATTAGAAAACATGCATATTTCTGTGCATATGCACAAAAGAATTTCTGAAGTGGGCAGACATACTTCCTTGGAGAACAAAGTTGACCAAATAGAACTTTAATGCTGTACAAGATTTTTCTATAGATTATTCTTTTGTGACATGTAAAGTTGAACTTTGTATATCTGGTGGCATTTAATATATATATATACAATTATTTTAAACCAGTGTGTGACATTTTTGTATTTTTCCTTAATAAGCTGTCCGCATTATAGGCTCTTGAGTATCATGTGGAACTAATAAGTGTGCAGTAGTAGATGCAAAAAGTCATTAGCATTTATTGCTTAGTAGCAGCTGACCACTGGGGTCTTGGCAGAGTGCTGGTAATTAGAAAATATTTTATTCTGGAAATAATGAACTCAGAAGAAGTGGGGTAGGTCTAATAGTGAAAGAATAATATGACATTTGATATAATAATATCAATGAGCCGTAATAGAATGCTGATCACTATATAGCTATCATTCAAGTTTATGCTTCAATCTAAATATAGAAGAAGAAATAAACATGTTTTATGCAAGTGTCCAGACAGCAAATGATCACACATCGGAACAGGACATGTTGGCAACCAGGCGACTGGAATGCAAAAGTAAGGAGTAAAGCAAAATGAAACATCAGAGAACCTGGCCTAGGATATCAAAACAAAGCAGGAAAGTAACTTGTTAAATTCTGTGATGCCAACAATTTGTTAATTGCAAATAGACAACTGAACAGATGGTTGTATATGTGGACATCACTGGGTGGCCAATTTATTGTTAAATAAGAATATATTATCTGAAGCAGAGGATGCATATGTTCTATTCTTTGGAAAAACAAGACCGAGAATGTGTTATGGAAAAGAACATTATACTGTACCAACCACAGTGCTGGGTCATGACTTGTGTAAATTCTTAGGAATATAATTTAGGTAAAGAACATATTTGTATTACTAAGTTTAATTGACTACAGAAAAGAACGGTGGAGTGAAATCTTAAGGAAGAATGCAAAAAGTCTATACCCATAGTCAAAAGAAAAGAAAAATCTTGAATTACTGATGAAACTCTTAAAACAGTTAAGGATAGATGAGAAGGATAAATAAGAGAAATAGGATCAGAATTCTAAATGCAACTTTTCAGTGACTAGTACACAGAGACAAAAACCTATTATAAGCTATAATTTATAACAATAATTGCAAAGAAATAAAGAGAATAGCAAGGAGGAAAAAGATATATAATTCATAAGTTACAAGAAATCAAAGGGATTTCTTGAAGTACAGTGGGGTCTTGACTTGAAAACTTAATCCGTATTGGAAGGTGGTGCTCAAGTCAAAAAGTTCTCAGGTCAAATCTGCATTTCCCATAGAAATGCATTGAAAACCATTTGATCCGTATCTGCTCTTTTCCGTCCATAGAAACTAATGCGAAGCTGCTATTCTGCCTTCGACCACTAGAGGGGGATATTTTGTTTCTATTTTTCTTCGGTCAAGAAAGGTTCAGGGAAGGCAGGGAAAATACAGTCCAGGCAGGCCAATATCAGGCAGTCTGAAGACTGTCTCCCAATCCACTCTCTACACGCTGGGAGGAGTAAGGAAGCAGACAGGCACCCTTTTCACTGGCCAACAAGTTAACTGAAAGTTCAAATTTTGCACTTTCCCTGCCTCCCATGTGGTTTTTTTCAGTTCTTAACTCGAATCTAAGTATGTAAGTCAAGTCAATATTTTCCTATGAGAGCGGTTCTTAAGTCAAAATGTTCTTAACTCAAGCTGTTCTTAAGTCAAGACCCCACTGTACATATTTGCAGTTTAAATCAAGAATAGGGAGGGATTGTGAAAGATCAGCATAATTCTAAAGTATAACTTAAACTCTTATGTGAATTGGATAAAATAAAGAGAAGAGAACCACAGAACGTCATTACGGTCACTGATTTATGGGAAGAGAACGCAGAACGTCATTACGGTCACTGATTTATGGCATGTTCCCAGTGTTGTGTACTAGTGGACAGTGACACTGAGGTAGCTATGGATTTGAATTCCTGTCATCTGTGAAAACTCAAGGAGGGTAGGGTAGGGTGGAACATTATTCTACTCCTTAAATATCTCATTTATCTTGAAAGTCCTTGAGGCCATGTAACTTAATTAATAGGATAGTCACAAGTCAGAAATGACTTGAGGGCATATAACACACATTCTGAAGGTAAGACACAGTGTTGGCAACTGGCGGTAAGTCTTATATTTTCACTGTGTGATTGGACTTCTTTTCCATCCTCTAAATTTTGTGAGTTTTTTTCTAAAATTCACGAAAAATCACACTCTTTCACTCTGTAGCCCTGCTTTATCAGGCAGCAAATCACAAGCGCTACCGACTACGGGCAGCCTTGAATATACAGTACAGTAGAGTTTCTATGCAAGGTCAGGTATGCTCGTTTACAATTACTGTACAGTATTGCTGGCCTTCTTCTAGTGCGAAGGACTACTCCAACCGGAGGCGGCGCTGTCTAAAACAAAACACTCCCTCCCAGGATGGATCGTTGTAATTCCCCATTCACAAAAATCCAGGTGCCTCGTCGCTGATTGGCTATTGGGACGCAGAGCGGAGAGATGCGGTCCAATCTTCTGGTGATTGTACCATTATGAAAAAAAAATGAGGACTGAAAAGGAATAATTGCCTGCTCCTCTGGATCTTCTAGATCACTTCAAATCGACTTTTTCCTGACAAGAGTAATATATCTGTCTTATATTACGGAGCCCGCCAGGACTTTCTTGCTATTCCTCTGGGGCTGAAATGGTATATCCTGCTCCGCCCCTCCCTCCGCTCTCCGCCATCTTGACGCCTCCTTTGCGCAAGAGTCGAGCGCAGAGCTCGTTCCGCGGTGGAACAAACCACCTTAGCACGAAACGCGGGGGTAGGCGGGGCGAAGCGATGTATTGGCAGTAGAGTAGACGAAACTTAAGAGTTGCCGTTAGAGGCGGGCGACGTTCAGTTCATTTCGGGAAGGCTGGCAGGCAAGGGATACTATTTGGCAGCTGACAGGAGGGGGTGGGGCTGGGACCCAACCATTTGCGAAAGCGGGGTGATGTTGCAGTGCCGGGATTTTTGGACTGAACCATTACTTGTGCGGAGGGAGAAGGACATATGTATGTGGGTGGCACTGTGGTAAATGGTGCGTGCGCGTGTATATACGTATGTATATATATTGAATTGATGTTCAGGTGGGCGATATTGCGGAGTAGGTGGGAGGGGCTGGCTGCAAAAGCCTAGACACGGGTGGCGTGTAAGGTAGCACCACAGTGAATGTTTTGGAGGGGGCTACCCTTGACCTGGTTCGAATGGTGCCATTCTGAGTAAAGGAGGAGGGAAGGAGGAGGGGGGGAATGGATGGTGCAATTTGGGGCGCCCACAGGAAGAGTTAAAGAAACACCACAGATTTGATGGGAGCGTCCATTGTGAGTGGGTGAGGAAAATCCATGTGGCACCGCAGGTTGGGGGGCTCTGTTACGGGGGATACCACTGCGTATAGAAGCAGGGAGGGCAGGAAATACCACTTTAGCAACCGTAGGTGGCATTCCTGAAAAAAAGAGTGCCAGGCCAGGAGGTGCCAGGGAAGACCAGCACATGGAACAAGCGATGAGCTCTGATAGGGACCAACGTCAGGAGTCATAGGATTTATGGTTGGGTAAACTCCTGGGTGGGAAGACTTTAAAGAAATAGGAAGGCTAGTCCTTTTTCTGATACAAGCACTTGAAGGGGGGGGAGGGGGTAGATCGCGCAAGTGGGAAGGGGTCCAAGGGGTGCCATGCAAAGCACTCGGTGTTAGATTTGTCAAAGTCAGGAATCCAAAGGGACCTCTCGTTGCCATGGCCTCGAACTGTACCGGGAGCACTGTGGCAGCGAGTGTCGGTGCAGGTCTGGGCAGTGTGCTCAGTGCTTCCAAGACCAAGACGAAGAAGAAGCATTTCGTCTGCCAGAAAGTCAAGCTCTTCCGAGCCTCCGAGCCACTCCTGAGTGTTCTGATGTGGGGAATCAACCACACGGTGAGCAAGAAATGGACCTCCCCACTCCCACTTCCCCTTGTTTGTGCATGTGGCAGGAACACAGAATGGGTCGCCTGTGCAGCCACCCTTGGCGATGCACACCCTGCTGTTGAGTCTTTCAGTTTTCTATGATCAGTTAATGCTTCAGTGTTAACCATCATGCACATTCCACTGAACGATTAGTGAAATATTTCAATTGAGAACTACAATATACGGAGGATTAGGAACAGAATTAGCATTGTGGGTTTGATGTATACTTCCTGTAGTGAACTTTTAGAGCACTAGGACAATGGAGCCAGTTACCTCAGAAGGTGGTGAATACTCCAACGCTGGAGGCATTCAAGAGAAAATTGGACAACCCTCTGTGAAATCTGCTTTGATTTGGATTCCTACATTAAGTAGGGGCTTGGACTTGATGGCTTTATCGGCCCCTTCCAACTCAATTATTCTATGATTTGATTTCCTGAACCCACTGATAATTTCCATGATATTCTTCCCAGGTGGAATATGCTTTTCTAATATCTGCTTCTTGGTATTACAGGTTGTTGAAAAATAATGTGCTATGTCTTTTACTACAGTACATTACATTGGCATAAAACCTTAGTGGTGAAAAGTAGATGATGATGATGATGATGATGATGATAATGATAATGATAATGATAATGATAATGATAATAATAATAATAATAATAATAATAATAATAATAATAATAATAATAATAATAATAATAATAATAATAATAATAATAATAGTGTGCCATTAAGTTAGTTCTGATTCATGGTTACGGTTTTCAGGTGTTTTCTGGTTAGAGAGTGCTTAGAAGTCGTTAATTTCTTCTGGAGATACCCTGGGACTGTGCAGCTTACCCAAGGCCACACAGGCTGGCTATTCTAGAATGCTCACTGGGGAATCGAACTCCCAACTTGATACCTAACTCACTAAGCTATCTAGCCAGCTAAAAAGTAGACATGTTGGCACCACTTTTGTCCCAGCCATTTTCTGTCTGTTAAAAAAACAAACAAACAACCTTATGCTTGGTCAGTGGTTGAAACATAAAGATGTTGTTTACAGCTCTTAAGGCGATCATGCTATAGAACATCCACACTGCACATTTAATTCTACAGGGATTTTGCAACAGAATGCAACCAGGGATATGCTGGGTTTAAAATGTATTATTTTGGTACTTGAGAGTTAAGTGAGAGTGGAGATGTGCCTCTAGGGCAGCCATTCTGCATACTCTGTTCCCTCCCCCCCCCCACACACACGTGTACTGAGATTCTAGCAGGAAGGGATCATTCTGCCTCACCACTTTGCCTTTCAGGGAAATGCTTTCACTAGTGAATCTTCTCATCTCTTGCCATGAGAGGAAGAGCCAAAAGGTATCAAGCCTTTCATGTCTGTGCAGAAGTAAACCCATTGTCTTCAATGGGACTTACTCAAAGATAAGCTTATGTGGGTTGTAGCACAAACAAAATCCTCATCAGAGAATCTCAGCTCTGTATCTGTTCATGTGCACTGGCTGGGGCATAATAAATCTGTTTCTTGGTGTGTATAAAATCCTAATCAGAGAATCTCAGCTCTATATCTGTTCATGTGCGCTGGCTGGGGCATAATAAACCTGTTTCTTGGTAGATATATATATTTGGATAGCTAAACTGAACACAATAAATCCATTTCTACAGAACCTCCTCCCCTCTGTGACGAAATTGGATTTCTTGGCATTAATATTTCACAGTCTAAATCAGAAATGCATGGCGTCATGCATATTTTTAAACAGATGTTGAAACTTGATGAGATCAGAGCAATATTTCAAATTATCTGCAGCTCATCTATCTGCTTAGAAGACTAAACAAATGGGATTTTCTCAGCTGCATTCAAAATTTTCCATTAATATCAATAAACATATCTTCCCCTCTCAGGGTAAAGTAATGCTACTGGAAATGGTTTCAAATTTCACATCATCTTAAGCTCACACCGTTGTGTTAAGCCAATGATTGTATCTCTGACTCGGTCATCCACGTAATATTACTTAACATCCCTGCTGCTAAGCGGGTGAAAAGATAGTCGTACTTTCATTATACTGTACAATAGAATGACAGAAAAATGCTTCATAAATGTTTATGCACTGTCATAATAATATTTCCTTGTGTACATATGCACACCTATGGATTCTGACCAGTGTTGTACAGTGCACTGAAAAGTTCTTGAGGAAAACATGCCATCTGTTTAAAACTTTCATGACCAGCTCTTCCCAGTTTCTTCCACTTGCAAGAGCAGGAGACTTTACCCAGATATTGAGGACAAACATCTATGGATAGTTGTTGTTTTCTTGGAGAGATTTGGGTGACTAGACATTTTGAGAGAATGACTACCCTGCTGTGTTTCCCTTTGTTACAACTTACAGTTGGCAAATTGTATTTTGAGAGTTCATTTGACTTCTCAGTTATTTGACTCCTCTTAACAAATTGTGTAGATTTCAGTTTTTTGCCTTCATTTACTTGAGCTAATAGAAACATAAAAGAAAGAGTTGAGTTTTTTTAGCAAATTCAATACTTCTTCTTTTCCTCCACCCTTCTTGCATGTTGGCATTCCCCCAAAAAGCTCATTTTCTTCACCACTATGCTGTGGAATATAGGCAGCTTCTGCACAGAAATAATGACTGTATCCAGGGCTAATGACTAAAATTTCTTGGAGTGAATAAAAAGTTAACATCATAGCCATTCAGTTTGATGAGAGGCGATGCTAGGGACATACTGAACAAGGTCCAGGCATTTGACTGGCTCCTCTTGGGAAGAGAATGCAAAATAGTGGCCACTGGTAAAGCCATCTCACTGGTGGAATTTTTCTGTAATTAAAGACTTCCTCCTCCCATCCCACAACTTCCATGGCTTTCAACAATGAAAGGAGGCTTTAGACCCTTGGTACAGAAGTAGGAAATGTTTAATTTCTGAAAATTGTCCCTGCTGCTGATGCCATCAACCTTATGCAGGTGTGAATTAGGGAACAGGGTTTCAGACTATATAGAAACTAGGTAAGACTTAGTTTGATCAAACAAGGTTCCTCTTGCATTCCTCTGCCTCTGATGAAGATGTGAAGGGCAGTTATTTCCAAATTGTATGTCTATGGTATTCTTTGAAAAACAGATTAATTTAAAAGTATGATGACATCTATTAGCCCAGAGTAACTGCTCACACAGGACCCAATAGGATTAGTTATCTTGGCATCACATCATGTCAGTCTTTTTCTGCTGGACATTCTGCCTGAATCTCTGTTTTGAATGTGTTTGGCTCATTAATTCAGTCGGTCCTGATGCAGCAAAGTTATGTGTCCCCCCCCCCCCAGCATGCAGCCCGCTGTGCTTCTGTGTGAGTAATTGCTCTTCTGTTGTCTCCTTTTAATCAGAAACAAGCGCAGGCAGGGAATGGGGTCCAGTAATGGTGGGTAAATCTGAGCCCGAGCACATTCTTGAGGTAAACATACAAGGCTGCTTTACATTGAATCAGATGGTTAGCTTTCTGTGTAGTTCGGAGTTGTCATTTACCAGTTGGTAGGTACTCCAGAGTCTCTGGTAATGGGGCATTCCAGCTGTGGTGTCTGGGTATGTCTGCGTTCAGTCATTTTGACCACAAGTTACAGCAGCCATTTTCAACCTTTTTTTGGACCATGACCATAAACACAATATGAAAGAAACAGACTGATTGCATAGTCACATAACGAAGCTTATAAGGTGGAGTGTGAAGAATTGTTTCCAGTTTGTGGCCCCCTTCAAATGTATCAGGGGAAAGTGGCTGAGCTACAGTGCTACCTCTTACTTTCTCAGGTATAAGAGAGAAGTGTGTCTCAACTTTTAAATTAACCAAAAAAAAAAAAAGTCTTGGTGAATTGAAGTTGAGGAAGACCATCTCATGGTCTATGAGTTTATACTAAGGAACAGTAATTAGTTGTGCTGTGGTTTTTATTGAGTTTTCTCAGAGCAAAGTGAACACATGTTTATGTTTCTTTTTTGCAAAAAGTGATGCAGAAAATGTAACTTTCTTTGGAAAGTATGTGCTCAGGGTTGGAAAAGGATTCCCATTCCCTCTCACAGAACATTTAGCGGGCTTTGAGTCTTTTTTTCATTTGCGGTTTGTGGCCTGTTTTGCTCAGTCAAGTCCTATGATTTGGTTTACAGGCATCTTTTTGCAGCCTACAGGTCTTCTGGCTTGACCGAAGGTGCTCCTTCATTACAACAACAGATATGTTGCTCACTATTGATTATTTCGGTTAGGGCATATGTTGCAGTCCAGCAACGTTTGGAAACACATTTATTAACCTTTTCCTAAGCCCAGCCATGTATTGAGGTGTACAGTTGCATCACAAGAGGAGCTGAAATGCATTTTAAAGAATTAAATCATCATGTTGAATGGGATCACCACTCTACCTATCTGGAGTAGGGGATTCCGTGCCATGATGGTATCCTTTCTTTGTCCATGCAAAGCGGGTGACATCATAGGAAAGAAAAGAGTAATAATGATGCTGATCTACTCCATGCTATGGAAAATGTTAATAGAGGCGCTCCATAGGCATTCTCATTTATCAGAAACCAAGACCCTAATCTGTTTGGTGAAAAATATGAAACGCTAGCAGAAAATGTTAAATGGCTTTTCCTATAGATGAAAAGAAAAGGAATGCCCAGAAGCTAATAAAGAAAATATACATATGCCTCCTCCTTAACAATGACAGTGAAGTTGCGGGAGTTCAATATAAACATTTTTTACATCTGTCTGTCACTTTGGTGGATCTTCTGTGCATGCAGAATCACAGGGCAGTCTCACTCTCATGCTAGCAAGACAGTTGGCAGATGTTAATAAGCAGCTATCTACTGGTCAAGCTGGCTAAGGGTGATGAGACTTGTAGGTCACATGTCTGCATCTCAACACATCTGGAGATTACACTGGCCAGATTGGTCAAGGCTATAGTGAAACAATTGGAATTGCTTGTGCAGAAACGCAGATAGCTCCTGCTTTACAGTAAAAGAACCATTAGCATTGGAATATCTATTGAAATGCGCCATGATGACTGCATTATTTTCACTCACTGGGGTAGGGGGAAAGTCCAGCATCCCTTTCAAATAGAAGTTTAGAGGGTAGGTAATTGGGAGGAAGGCAGCTACTGATCAGATTATTGTGTGGCGCAGCAATTTTAAGCCCCAAATTGAGACCATTAGAACTATGACCTAGACCTGTGAAAGCAAAAATCAGCACAGCGTATTGAACCAGCTGAAGTTTTTACCTGCTTTTCTAAACTAATCCCTTGCACCATCCATTACCCTTCTTCAGTCTGGGAGATCCCAGATCATGGATAATTGTGAACAGAGTGCCTCTCTCCAGGCAAGGATGCGGAATAATAAAATACACTGCAAGGTTGTCTTGAGTATCCAGCAACAATGCTGGGCCCAGCCATACCCCTTGGCTGAACACCAGATCCTTAAGACAGAATGTGGCCCCATCCGAAACAGGCTATACGAGTATAATGGCTTCCTCAGTAAAGTGTTTGCCAAACATAGCTCTGCTTCCAGTGCATTGAACTTTTATTTGTTAGCCTGCATCCAGCCCATTACGTATTGCATCCAGACAGCTGCTCAGGAAATCCACGTCTGCGTACGGACCCCTCATAAGCAAGAGCAGGAGAATGCTATAGTGTCAGCGTTGGTGACACTCAAATTTAAACCTTAATAATGATCTCCCATAGTAATTTCATGTAGATCAGAGGAAAGAAATATGTCACTTTCCTGATGTGATTAGACTATGACTGCCATTAGCCCTGATGATCAGAGCTAATAGCCCATACATTCCCTGTCCTTGATACAAATACAAAATGGCAAGGATCTCGTTATAAAACTTGGAGCAACAGTGTGTCGTAGTGGCCATTGTACAGAATTTCCGCATTACATTCCTGCAACAATATACCCCAGCAGGTAAATCAGAAATTCTTCTGATCATCACTACCTTCCTCCATCACAGTCTGCTATAAGCATGGTAAGGAATGGTGGGATCATTTTCTAGGGCTGATGGTATCCAATGCTAATGAGAGGTCCAAGAGGATTAACAAAGGTACTCTCTGCCTGTTGTATCAGTGCAGATCATCTACCAGAGCAGGTGAGAGCCACTGCAACTGCTATGGTCTAGAATGAAGCTGCTCTAGCTGTGCCTTTCCCCCCTCCAAATAATGGTTGGATCATTTCACCCTTGATAGTTTGCTTACTCTTTGCAATCTCTCTCTCTTTTTAAATGATGCTTTTAATAGTCTTCTAGATAGCAACCCAGTTGGGGAATATGTTTTTTCTTCACCAGCAGCTGCTCCATGAGATAATACATGATTCTGTGGGAGAGGAGGGGGAAAATGCATCTTGAGAATCTCAGCTTTAAAAAAAAACAATTAAAAAGAAGAAGAAAGCAAATTTGTCTCACTGCCAGTTTCAGAGGTAGGTCTCTAAGTGTGTAGGCAGTGCTTCCTGGAATGTAATACACTTTCCAGTTGGCAGAGACAGACCTTCGAGTGGCCTTGTGTTTCCCTGTGACTATAAAATAAAAATACATTGCATCAAAATTGAGAGAGAGAGAAAGAGAGAGAGAGAGAGAGAGAGAGAGAGAGAGAGAGAAATAATTTATAGACTGAAAAAGTCATCCAAGTTCTGATTCTTTCAATATAGGGCATTTATTTCCTGGGCATATGGACTGTTTAGATCCTTGAGAAGGAGTGATCCAGAGTTTGGAAAAATTACTTTTTTGGACTGCAGGACCCAGAATACCCTGGCAGCATCTCCAAGAGGGTTCTGGGAAGTATAGTCCAAAAAGTACCATTCCCTGCTCCAGTGATGCCCAAGCCCCTCGTGAGTCAGCGGGACAACTGGACTAAATCCCTCCTCCTCAGGACAGCTCTCTAACTCTATCCTCAGATTTGTTGTGTTTCAGTATATGAAGGATGGACCTCCTTGCAGTGACCTACGTGCTTTGAGGGTGAACAGTTAAGTGTTCTTTTGACTGTATAACTGGAGGTCGTCCACTTAGTGCTGCAATCACCAATGAACATTTAATAAGGTTTATTGGCTCTGTGGTTGGCACAGATTATTTCCTCCCCCCCCCTTATTCATGGCCTACTTTGTTTAGATTTTGTTTCTTTTTCAGATTAACGAGTTGAGCAATGTTCCTGTTCCAGTTATGTTAATGCCAGATGATTTTAAGGCGTACAGCAAGATTAAGGTGGACAATCATCTTTTCAACAAGTGAGTAATGAATCATAACTCTTTTTAAAAAGCCACATTGAAAAGTATGTCTTTTGGGTGCGAGGTGGTTAAGGGGCTCTGACATATTTTAAAAATAGGTTGCTGTTATCTGGAGGCTTCTGGAACCACCCATTGTTGTTTTTTTAAATACTGAATTAAAACAGTGTAGGGGCCAAGGTAATCTGGGGCCAGGAACCATAAAAGCACTTTGAGGGCTGCATGTGTTCACTAAGAGAGCCAGCTCTAATTAATTAGAAAATGTAGATTCTTTTTTTTCTTCCATGCTATTGGTATGCTACAGGTTTGATAAGCATGACTAGCAGAATCTTTTTTTCTCATGTGAGAGAGCTAATAAGCTTTGCAGAATTGCTTGCAAATTTTCCACGAAGGCAGGTCTTCTTTTCGCCTTATTCACTTTCCCATTTGCCTCTTTGAAGCACAGGCTTCAGTTTACACCAGAATGTTTTATTTCTGCCTCGGCATTAGTTCAGTCTGTGTGTGGTAGAGATGCTTCGTTAAAATAAATTAATTCCATCTTGTCCACCCACTAACAGGATTTGCGTCTCCAAATCTAGAGGCAGTTTGAGGGTTGTATTTTAATTTCCCATTTTACCCCTTTAAATCTGTATGATGTAACTGGATCAGAGAGGAAGGGAGAGAGATTTAAATACAAAAATATCATACATTGCATACAGGAATGCTGTCTCTTTGGGTCAAGATTACCTTGCTAACAATCTTTTTTTTTCTTTGCCTTTTGGTAGTTGTTATGCAACCAGATAACTCTTTTCTGTAAGTTGTTTGAAAGACTAACAATGTATTGATTTTTTAAAAAATCTGATTGTGCAGGTGTGGCTATGCTACTCATTTATTCCAGCAGCCACACCCAGATATTGTTTCTTAACCATGAAGTACTTGAGCCACAGTCCTTAGTGTGTGTTTTTCTATTTTTTCATATAGCAGGTTAAAAAACCACAACTGATATATATTACTTTGTTACCTTTTGGGAGATGATTATACTTCAGCTCTTGCCTTGAATAGCTGTGATAGCCACTGAAAAAGGAAAAGAATCTAAATGTATTTCTGTGAAAGAGGGGGCATTTCTGTCTGATTTGAGTGCAAGGAGCCCATTTGTGGAGCCCTCTTAGCCGCTGTGGTGGGCAGATGCTGATGATTTTGTTTTAGCATTGCTGGTAGCAAAATGTGTGGCTAGGCAATTGCTCTCTTTTTGTACTTCACTGCAAAAATGAAATGTTTCATTGATGTTGGTAATGCATTTTCTAAGAGGAGGAAAGAAAAGGGTTTTCTGGTATATCTTTGAACTTGTCAAGAGACCCATAGAGCCACACGAGTGTGAGGAATTTGTCCAGCAACCGGAGGAAGAGCAGAAGCTTAGTGCTGAAAGAGCCAGAGGTAGCTCTCTGGTCCCCAGGCTTCAGAAGAGTGTCACCTGCATGTATCCAAGAAGGGTTAGAGAGGTCTTTGGAATTCCTGTTGTCTCCTTCAGAGCCATGTGAGAATAAAAGAGGCAGCTAGAGAAGATGCTAAATGGGTCACCAAAGAGCATGAAGCTCTGGGTTGGAAAGTAAAGAATGGGAAAACTTACTGGGATTTTTGTGTATCCTTCCTGTCAGAGATCAGTATGGTAAGGAAAGAGAGATATTAGAAGTGAGGAGCCAGCGTTGTTGGAAAAAAGTTTAATTTGTATGAATGGTTCCTGGTCAAGGGTGAGCTATACCTTGTGGAGACCTGAAAAAGTTGATCAAGAAGGTTTCAAATTAACTCCTGGCACGGAGGAGCAAAAGCCCAGAGCTAACAACCTAACAAAGCATTAGGAACAAGAAGACAAAACACAATTGAAGGGGCAAAGCAAAGTGGAGATGGAGCCCAGAAACCTGCAGATATGTAGAGCAAGGAAACTAAGAAAGAGCCTATAGCCGCCAGTGTTTGTATACTAACACACAGCACACAATCGAATGTGCTGTATACGAGGGATTATAGGAAAGCAGATTTCGAAAAGCATGGGGGAAATTTGGATAGTCATATAGTCAGAAATTATCAGATGGGGGAAGAATTAATGAAGGGAGAGGGATCTGGAGAACTGAAATACCGAAGGCACAGGTGCAAATTACTCTCATGAAAAGGAAAAATAATAAGGGATATTTTTAAAAGATGTGGTGGGTGCAGAAGACAAGCTGATTCTTAAAAAGAGACAGGAATGGGAAATGGAAGAAGACAGTCTGAAGCTGTGAGGTGGGTCTCAGGCAGGTAAGGGCCCAGGCTGGAGTGCCAAAGACAAGAAAAGGGGCTTCTTTAGTTGTGATAGAAGCAAAAAGAAACAGACAATGACAACAAAAATAGTACAAGGAAAGGCTAGTCCCTGCTTGGTTAAGATGGTAAATTGTTAACAGGTATCAAAGAGAAGGCAGACTCAGCTCTTACTTTGTCCATGTCATTTCTCACAAGGGAGGTTTTGTTTGACCTTGGAAGTGTAGAGCAAACAGTAGTATATAATAAGGAACTTGCCGTGCTGAACCAGTCAAGAAGTGGTTAGAGAACATTTATCTACTTTAAATCACCTCAGGTCTCCATGGGCAGATAAATGACATCCCTAGAGGCTGAAGGAGCATGCAGACCTTATTTCAGAGTCACTCTCTGTAGTCTTGGAGAATTCTTGGAGAACATGTGAAGGGCTAGGAGACTTGAGATGGACAAATATTGGCCTCTCTCTTTAAGAAGGGGAGAAAGACAGAGCCAGGAAACTATAGACCAGTCTTGCTGGTGTGAATCATGAGCAGAATTCTAGAACTAATTATTAAGTGGTTGGTCTTTGAGCAAGATAATGCATTGATTATCAGGAATCTTTAATTTGCAGGAATAAGTTGTGCTTGACCAGACTTGTCACCTTTTTTGAGAGTGTTATTATAACATGGGCATTTTGTTGACCTGGCACATTGTGATTTCAGCAGTGTATTTGACAAGATATATTAGGATATTCTTGTTGACAGGATGGTACCATGTGGACTTGATGATACCACTGTTAGGCAGATTGAGCAACCACTCAATAAATCCTACATAGCATCTCAGCATCCTCCTGGAGAGAGGTTTCAAGTGAAACTGTTGGAAAAGCTGGATATTCATAGTTTCGGAGGAGAGAAGATTAAGGGGGGGGGGTGCTGATAGGAATCTCCAAATCTCTGAAAATGCAAAGGATGGAGCAAACCTATTTGTCCATTATTTCTGAGCACAAGAACAGTAGGTCTAAGTTGTAGGAAAACAAATTTCAGGTTAGCATTTGTACTAGTAAGACCTATTCACCAGTGGAATAAACTGCCTTGAGAGATGGCAACTGCTCTTTTACTGAAGATATATTTAAGCAACGGCTGGTGGTCCAATGCCAGGAATATTCTTGCACTGCAGAACCTGCACTGAGCTGAAGATGGACTAAACGATGCCCAAAGAACTTTCCAAGTCTGTGATTCTAAGAGAAATTCATATGCTCTTCTGAAGATGGGTAGCAGTTTGAGATGGGACATGTACAGCGTTATTTGAGAACAGCAGTGATAATCCCAGATGTTATTTAAAGGGAAGCCTATAATATATTTTGCAAAGGTGGGAATTATTTCTCCACAAGTGTGGATGACTGCAAAGACTTATCTGACGAGCACACTGACAGGAGTATAAACGTACACAGAAGAAAGTGCTAGATTATGGAAGTATCTGCCAGCATGGCTTTGGCAAATCTCAGACTAGAAAATAATTTTAACCACATGGAGTTTGAGAAATATATTAAAACAGAGATTCCCATATACCATAATAACCTAATCTATTCCAGGACTGTGTTCTCTCTTAGCTCAAGAGAGATGCATTGAGGCAGAAATTCTGCAGATGCAGTAGAATTCTCCAGTCATTTGTTCCAGCTGCACCTGATTGATTTCTGTGTAATGTATTTGGACAGAGCATGCATCCTTCCCCGTTTTTCTTTTGATTTGTCTCACTTTCCTTTCTTAACATTGTCCTGGCTTTATTTTTAGATTGTAGGCCTGCAGGGCAAAGTTTGTATTGTTTTTAATTTTTATGCAGCACTTGAAATTCTAAGCGCAGTATTTAAAAATCACCAAACTTTATTATAACAATGCCAACAAACATTGTTGCCAAGTCTCGCTAGACAAATCTATACACACTGGACCTATCCCAGTGGTCTGATGAGAAGACCTTTGTAGTCAGTGTTTTAACACCTGGCATATTCACATTTTGCATGTTTTCAACATATCATTTAAAACTCTTTAAAACTATTTTGAAAAATAAATTTTAAAAAATTGTTATGAGAAGATAAAAATGGAATGCTTGAAGTGGCTTTCCACTTTGAATGTATTTAGAATATAGTTACATCTTAATAGTGAATTACAACTTCTCTGCTTCTACTTCCAGAGAAAATCTGCCAAGTCGCTTTAAGTTTAAGGAATACTGTCCATTGGTGTTTCGAAATCTCCGGGAAAGGTTTGGGATTGATGATCAAGATTATCAGGTATGGAGCAAAGTGGTACCATCTCATCTAGTGCCTCTGCACTTGTCTGAAGAAGTTGGAGATTGGTCCTTTTTGGCATTATTTATTTTCTTTTTCCTGCATTGTAAATAAAGGATCATTTCAGTTACAAATAATGAGCCATTGGAGTCTCTCATCGTTGGAAAATTTTAAGCAAAGGTTGTATAGCCATCTTTCAGGGATACTTCGCAGGTGGATCCCCTGTTTAGGCAAGAGTTGGACCTCATGGGGTGCTCTCCAGTTCTTCACATCTGTTTTTCCATTATTTATTGTGGGTCAGTCTCACCTTTCAGGTGCTTAAAGTGGTATATCTTGTGAAGGCAAATCTGTGGTGTACATCAATCTTCCTAACAATCCTCTAAGGTAGGTTAGCTGGAATGGCGATGCCTGGTCTAAGATTGCTTGGTGAACTTCATGGCTCAATGGGGTTTAGAACCTGGGCCTCCCCAGCCCTTATCTGCCTTTCCAACCGCTATACCACACTGATGCAAGGCTGAGGATACAAGAAGAGGGAAAGGCACTTTTCATTAGCATCCTTGTGGTATGTATCAGAGATAGTCTTTTTAAGGATAAGAAAGGTAAGGAGAGATTGGGGGGGAGATGCAGGAGAAGAACATTGTTAGTTGGCTGTGGGGGACAAAGGAAAAGAGAAGGACATGGCATAAACTTTAGAGGGAGCAACAGCACACAATGCACTCTGCCTAGCATGTTTACATTCCCCAGGACTGGTCTGTGTATGAGTGAGGCTGTGAAGGTGAGAGTCTGGTTTAGAATTGATAACAAATCAGTCTTGGTATATAATGGGTTATTTTGGATTTCATATGTTTAAGAATAGAAAGATTCCAGTCCTTATAACTCAGTGATTATTAACCAGTGGGATGTGCCTCCCTGCAGCAAGGGTATATCAGGATTTCAGAAGAGGTATATGTAGTTTGCGGAGGGAAGTGACTTCAGTATTGTAATGGCCAGAATCTTACTGATATTTACATTAAGGTTTGAGGGACTTGCCACAGTTAATTGATTAGGTGCTGGAGTCCGTCTTGGATGCACCTCTGGTCATGGGCCCAGTTGCACGATTGAGATGCTCCTGGCACCTCACCAATTAGCCACAGCAAATCATCATAATCATCACCACCACCTTGGAACTGCAGAGCTGGAAGGGACCCTGTGGATCATCAAGTCCAGCTCCTGTCAGGGAGATACAGTGGGCAAGCAATCTCTCAACCTCTGGCTTACAGTATGTGCCTTATCCTAACACCAATAGGATTCTAGCCATTTTTGTTTGTTTGGAAAATGGAGAAAAACAATGATAACCTCTGCTTTCTTACTACATAGCATATTGTTTAGCATGCAGTAGCGTATCTGCTTTCCAAATTTACAAATGTTTTGATCTGATTTTTGAAACAAAAAATTAAATGTAATTATTGGGGGAGGCAGACGAAGGGAGGGTGTGTGAAGTTTTTGTGCTTATCAGAAGAGGGCATGGATTGAAAGGTTTGGCAAACACTTTTTCAGTTGTTACTAGCGGTTTTGAAAACTAGCTTGAATTCCCAGAAGGGGTGGGAGATAGAAAGAGAGAGAATATGTGTACGCAAAAGAGTCTGAGTGGGAAAGGGAAACACTGCAGGAAGGAACAGAATGTTTCCAGTCCTCATGCTTTCCTGTATCTCCTTCCTTCCCCTTCCCTTTCCCCGTCATAATCTGCATAAATGCCTACCCCACCCCCATCCCAGGGTAAGCTCAGCCGGTCAGCAGGGCATGCCTTGGGATATAGAAAGCTAATAGGATTGGCGAAATGAGAGACTTGCTGCCAAAGGGTTAGCTAGCTCAACCTTTCATTACTGATCTTTTGCTGTAGTAGTTGGATTATTCATAAACATTTTAACTCATACATAAAGGGGATTCCTAGAGGACAGGAAGGTTTACATGTGCGGTTTAGCTTCTTTTCAAGAAAACCTTGTTAAATTCCTTGACCTCTTCTTTGTAAAAGCAATTTAAAAAAAATAAATGGAAATGTCAAAGAGTTGAAACACAAGAATTGTAATTTTGCGGGGTTTGTGTACAAGGAGGGTCTAAGAAGAGTGAGCTGCTTTCTTCTTGGTTCTAGCTCAACATTCAGCAGAGTAACAGTGCCTGTGTAACACAGGGCCTGGCTGGCACAGCCCTGCCATGAAGTGTTTTCACTGCAGTATGCAACATGCAGCATGCTTCATGTTCTCTCATCAACCAACATTAACTCATCCTAAAGGCCTGGTTTGGACCATCTCCTATACTGTATATTCTTCTGTTGTGCCCTACAATTTTTTTCCTTTTCTTTGTAGAATTCTGTGACACGGAGTGCCCCAGTGTACAGCGATAGCCATGGCCGATGTGGGGTCCGTTTCCTCACCACTTACGACCGGCGCTTTGTCATCAAGGCGGTGTCAAGTGAAGACGTTGCAGAGATGCACAACATACTAAAGAAGTACCACCAAGTAGGGGAGCTGGAGGAGGAAAAGGGACATTACATACCATCGTATGTCTCAGGATAGTTAACTTGTTGAAGAAGGAGCCTCTCAGTTGACACTCCTGTTTGGGCAGTCACTCCTACAGGAAGTTTTCTGTCATCCCAACATCAGAAAACAGGAGAGGCAGTTTATGTATCTGTTACATTTGTATCCCACCTCTCCTTTGGTGAACTGAAGGTGACCCTGATGGTTCTCCTTTCCCTAAATCCTTACAACAACCCTGTGAGTCAGGTCAGGTGGCCCTGGCCTGTGGACACCCAGTAAACTTAATGGGTTTTTGAAGATTTGAGCCCATATCTTTGGAGTCCTAATCGAAAGTGCAGTGGATTCATCTGGGTTGGTTTTAGTCCTCTGGCCAGTGTTATTCCTCTGATTATTCCCAGGAAATGACTTAGATCTTCAACCACACAGGAATCCAGTCTCACTACAATTTTATGGGTATTTGTAGAAAAAAAATGTACCTGCTTCGATTAGCCACAGATAGCCCATCCCTAAAGATGCCAGAGAGAGAGGGATGCCATTACTAATCATAGCGCAGTGTTTCCCAACTTTGGGTCCCAATATGTTCTTGAACTACAACTCCCAGAAACCCTGACCAGCCCAGCTAGTGGTGAAGGCTTCTGGGAGTTTAAGTCCAAGAAGATCTGGGGACCCAAGGTTGGGAAACACTACCTTAGAGCAACATGGCCAATGACAACTTGCTGTTTGGAATCCCACAGTTCAACCAGCAAATTTGGTTTTTCAAGAGAAAAAGGGAATACAAAACAAAAACTGGGGGAGAAAACATGTTCTCACTTTGCCTGTGCCTATTAAAATGGCCAACTCATTTTGGAAAAGTCTATAAGACTGTGCAATCTAGAGAAGCCTGAGAAGTCCATTTTGGATGGTTTCCAGAGTACACAAACTATCTATTTTATCTGCTGCCGACAAAGGATTTACAGTGGGGTCTTGACTTGAGAACTTAATCCGTATTGGAAGTCAAATCTGCATTTCCCATAGGAATGCATTGAAAACCATTTGATCCGTATCTTATCTGCTTGGATGGTTTCCAGAGTACGCAAACTATATATTTGTCTGCTGCCGACAAAGGATTTATAGGCTTTTTTAGAATGTGTTGATTAATGAAAACATTTTGAGGAGTCTCTTTATGTCCTTGGCGGCTTTGTTTTCTCTCTGTGCCCACTTGCCTTCACTGCTCTCTCCTCGCTCTAGAGATTTGGTGTTGCCCCATGCTCCTCCCCCTCCTGCTCAAGCTGTGCCACAGAGCTGTAACCTAACATTGACTGACTTCATTTTTCCTTCTCACTCTCCCCCCCCCAACCCCTTTTAGTTTATTGTGGAATGCCATGGAAATACACTTCTCCCTCAGTTCCTCGGCATGTATAGGCTTACTGTCGATGGGGTGGAAACATATATGGTGGTCACCAGGAATGTTTTTAGCCACCGGTTAACAGTGCATCGGAAATATGATTTAAAGGTAAGGGGCAGTAATGTGGACAGTGCACTGGGTCACAGCCCGTGCCATGGAACACTCACTCCTCTCTTGTACAAAGTGGTGGGCCATCCTTTGATATTTTTTTTGAATTTTTTGTATCTGATGATTGGGGCATATCTCCTCTGTATATGGATTTTGCATTACTAGCCATTGTGAGACCTGTAGTTTTCAAAAGTCCTAATTGTAGGGAACATCAAATTTTCAAAGACATCTTGGGCAAATATTGTATCTTTGGGAGAAAACAGTGATACAAGGGAATAAGAACAAATGAAGGTACATTGTGTTTGCAGAAAAGCTTTTAGTTAATTAGGGTTCAGTGTTGGCTTTTTAGAATGACTACACTGCCTGGCTCTCCCTCTCTCATCTCTCCACTGTACTTTTTTTTTTTAATTTGAATTTTTTTGTATCTGATGATTGGGGCATATCTCATCTGTATATGGATTTTGCATTACTAGCCATTGTGAGACCTGTAGTTTTCAAAAGTCCTAATTGTAGGGAACATCAAATTTTCAAAGACATCTTGGGCAAATATTGTATCTTTGGGAGAAAACAGTGATACAAGGGAATAAGAACAAATGAAGGTACATTGTGTTTGCAGAAAAGCTTTTAGTTAATTAGGGTTCAGTGTTGGCTTTTTAGAATGACTACACTGCCTGGCTCTCCCTCTCTCATCTCTCCACTGTACTTGCTCTCTCCTCTAGGGTTCAACAGTAGCAAGAGAAGCCAGTGACAAGGAAAAGGTAAGGACAATTATTGGGAGGCCATTTGGGAAACAAGGCCAAAGAGAATCCTAATAAAGCTACAAGTGTCTCTCTAGATATTTTTGAGATGGGTACAGCAAAGGGGACAGAGACCTACCTTAGTAGCCAGAATGGAGACAGCATGGCCTCCAGAAGTTGTTGAACTGCAAAAAATGCTCCCTGCCTCTCCAGATGTTCTGTCCACTAATTTTTAAGGAAAATAATAGATTTCTTGATCTACAGTATTTTCAGCTACCTTTACAGAGGACTGCTTCCAATATTATCAAATGCAATGCTTCATCAAAATCAAACCATATCAAAATACTGTAAACCCCACCATAAAATAGAATTCCCACAATAATAAAATAGTAATACAAGCAATAACAATAGCAAACCAGTGTAATACTATTAAAATATTTTATAATTTATAATGACAGAAATCCTGTGGGGATTCCATGAATCCATTAATTCCTTGGGCCTATTTGAGTTGTGACTTACTTTATGTAATAAACCACAACTAGAGTAGACCGTTTAGAATCAATGGAATGTTTGGAGGAATTGACTCACCAAATCCCCATTGATTTAGTGGGCCTATTCTAATATAACTTACTATGCTAAGCAACAGGATTTCAGCGGAATTGTAGGTACATTGCAAAACACTCCTTTTGCTTTGTTCAGTTATGGTAAGGGTTTCTGTGAGTAAAGTGCTTTTTTCCTTGGGTACAGAATTGTTGGTTTGAGACTCTCCCACCTCTAATGGTTTGTGGGAATGCGCCGTCTACTATGAGAAGGTCTTCTACTCTCAGAGGTTGGGGGTTTAAACCCTCACTGTGGCCCAAAGTTGATGGGGACGTGCATCTTTTCTCTTCCCTTTTTCTCCTCACCTCTTACTCCCTTCTCTCTTTTGAGCTCCCTCTCCACCCTGTTTACTCCTTCTCCTTTTGCCCCCCCTCTATCTATTCTCTTTCCCTCTTCCTTTTCTCCTTCTGCCTTCTCTCTCACTTCACCCTTGCTCTTCCCTATGGGTATCCCCACATGCATCTGTTCAACTACACAAGAACTCACTGAGAGCCATTCTCCCATTTCCTGCCTAATGTCTGCCAGTCAGGTAGCTTGCTTCACTCTGGCACCCTTCAGAGCATCTTCATCTGATGATCTTCATCAAATGATGTCCCTTTAAGATTAAGTTAAGGCAGGCATGGCAAGCATGAACAAAACACAACTTAAAGGGTGCTGTTCTTCATTGGTTGTTCAGAAGCAATATAATTTACTTTTATTCAAACATTTTCTCCTCCTCTTCCTTTTTTCTCCTCACTGGGTGCCTCAAGGTGAGAGAAGTCATCCTTGTTTTTCTAAATTTTTCCTCTGTCAGTTCTAAACATGAACTGAAATACCCAACTGTAGACCACCCTGAGCAGAACAGAGCTGCACTGTCATCAGCTAGAAAATAGGATGATATTGGTGCTTGTAGGGAAAGGGATTTTTTTGTAGTACTGAAAGTAGCAGCAGCAGCATCTCTGGTAAGCTCTTGGTAGAAGATGTCCCCTTTTGCCTTTTTGAGGGACCAGGCTGAAGAAAACAACCCGTGAAATCAGCAGCAAAATCAGTAATGAGGAAGGGGAAAGCAAGGACCTTGGCAGACCACACGAGCAACTACCGGGGAGTATAGATTACCCACATAGGGTGTGAGGGAATGTGGGCTTGCCCTTTGGCAGGGAGGAAAAGTAGCATTCTTGCCTTCCCACCCGCTCTCAGCTTCAGATTACTGTTATCTACACACCCTTTGGTGTACTGTTCCTATTCAAGCGGCAAGCTTCATTCTGTAGACCAGGCAACTAAAACGGTTTTCCAGCCTTCTCCAGGGTGGTGCCTTCCAAATATATGGGAATTTCAGCATGGCCATTGGCAGCATTCTGGCTGGGGAGGAAGGGAGTTGTAGTTGAACTCACCAGGATTGTGTCACTTTGGAGAAGAGGGCCTTAGTTTATTTATCTGTAAGGACCAGTTGCAGTTAGTGATGGCGTAAAAAGCAGACTTCCTTGGATTTGAGCAGCCATTAAGGCTGCACTCTACCTAGGAGTAAATTGCATTTGTCTTAGTGGGATATGGTTCTGAGTAGATATATGTTGGATTACCTAGAAGTAATAAAAGCAAATGAAGGGAAGGTCCCATTGTGACTTTCCTGGATGGGGAACCCAGATGAACTGCTGGATAGTTCAGTGGTTCAGGCATCTGGCTGTGGAGCCAGAGGTTGGGGGTTTAAACCCTCACTGTGCCTCATTAGCAGGGGCTGGGCTCGATGATCTATAGAGCCCCTTCCAGGTCTGCAGTTCTAAGATGATTTCTGGATTGTGTTTGGTGTTTCAAAGATATGAGGCATTTGCTTTCTCGATCAGAGTTCTCAAAATCCCATAGCCTTGACTCTGTTTAGGCCTTTCAAACGGTGTGTTGGGGTATCTCATCTAGGATTATTCATCACTGTGATTACAAACATAATTCACAACCTGAAGAGCCCCCTCCAGGTCTGCAGTTCTAAGATGATTTCTGGATTGTGTTTGGTGTTTCAAATATATGAGGCATTTGCTTTCTCGATCAGAGTTCTCAAAATCCCATAGCCTTGACTCTGTTTAGGCCTTTCAAACGGTGTGTTGGGGTATCTCATCTAGGATTATTCATCACTGTGATTACAAACATAATTCACAACCTGACCTTGATTCACAAACTTTGTCTGTGTGTGTGTGTGTGAGAGAGAGAGAATGCAATGAACATGGGGTTTTCTTAAACTGCTTAATTTGTAACTGTTTCATTTTATTTTTGTTTGATTTTTCCATTTGGTTATTGAAGAAGACATTTTAATTCTCCTTTCCCTCATTCTGACCCCCTTTAAAAATTCTAATCCAGAAAGGCCAGATGGTGTTCCTTCTATTTTAAGAACTGCCAGTTGATTAGATATTCAGATTAATGATTAAAAAAACTGATAGAATTATGAGTATTTCAGAGTGTGGACCAAATCCCTTGACCTTAGTGCCCTTGTTCCTGTGGCAGAACTTTGACTTCTAGCATTAAATTCCAGAACATTCTAAGGACATTCAAGAATCCATAGCCCCTTGTGGGCCTTGGTTACATTTTGAGAAGCTCACATCTGTGGCAACAGATAGAAAATCCTCTCAGAGGAGCAGGTTAATTGGTAAACCATTGCATCAAAATAACAGGGCCCACACTACAGAAACAAGTGCTTCACACTGTAATAAATAAGAGTGTTGTGTAACAAAGAAGATAAGAGTCCCATTTGGTTTCATTTGTCTGTCTGCCTGATGATCTTTTAAAATACAGAAGAAAAAAAAGGTTGTTCTCCTGATCCAGGAGGCTTCCAACAATGATGTTCCACTTGAATGAAGGTGCATGGTCCTCACATACCTTTTCTTAAATGGAAGTCTTGTATGTGCATGTGTGTTTTGACCATTGCCTCATTGTTTAAATGTTGCCAATATGGTGGCAAAAGGGTTATGAAAGATGATGGAGGCTGTGATATACAGCCAGAGGACAGGGGTTGTGTGGTGATCACCCTGCTTTGACTTATGTAGGAGGTTATTTGCATAAACCAATGGGAGTTGTTAGGTGGCAGAGCCAGAGAAACTAGAAGGGAGGGATGAGGCAGAGAAGAGGAGTTTTTGTGAGTGCGTTAGAGTTAGAGATGAGAGTCTGAAAGTAAGAAGTTAGTTTGTGGGAGTTAGAGAGTGTGGTAGAGTGAGGAGTTAAGGGAGGCAGTTAGGAGTGTGGAACTGATACAGAGTTAAGAGTGAAACAAGTTATTACAAAACTACTGAATACTTCAAAGTCTTTGAAGAACCTGTTTAAGTGGTCCCCAACCTTGGGCCTCCAGATGTTCTTGGACTACAACTCCCAGAAGCCTTCACCATCACCTCTGCTGGCCAGGATTTCTGGGAGTTGAAGTCCAAGAACATCTGGAGGCCCAAGGTTGGAGACCACTAAGCGAACTGTATCCAATAAACCTGCTTTTGTTAAACGTTACACTCAGCATGGACTTCAGTCTTTCTAACTGAACATTGCTGACAGAGATCAACTGGGTGCAATGTAAAGGAGGGAACGTGTCGTGGGCCTCAGGCTACTAAAACAATCTGGAGACACGCAGGGGCACGTCACAAGTTGTATATGGCCTACAGACCAGATGTTGCCATTTTGTGCCTTAGAGGCTTCCTACCAGGGTCGGAAAAGCTTAGGTCTGGATGTTTAAGCTTTATCCTCTAGAGACCAGAGGGGTCGTTCTTGTTGTAATTTTCAAGACTCCAACAAACAAGTACCTTTCCTTTAACTTCCAAAGACAGCACATGGAGCCAGTATTTTCTATAAACTTCCTATCCTGACCAAACCTAATTCATGGATACATGTCAGCCCTTTAGAGCCCATCAACATCTCTGTACAATCAAGAGCTTTTGTTTTTGTTTTCACTGATTTCAGTCCAGTCCTTCTTCTCTGTAGGCGAAAGACCTGCCGACGTTTAAAGACAATGACTTTCTGAATGAAGGCCAAAAGCTTCATGTTGGAGAGGAAAGCAAAAAGAACTTTTTGGAGAAGTTGAAGCGGGATGTTGAGGTAGAGTGTCCTGTGTTGTGGGCAGGCATGTGGGTGTGCCAAAAAAAGGGTGATGACAATAGAACCACAGACCTGGAAAAAGACCACAAAGGCTATTCCCTGCCCCATGGTAGCCTTTTCTGCCTCCAGGGTCTACTCACCCACAGCACCCTACACCCCAGGTGCTGAGGGTGAGTAGACCCCTCCTACCTACAGTATCTGTTGCCTCTTTAGCTCATCACCAGTTGCCACTCCATCATGTCACTTCCTCTGCTGTGCATCTCATTTCCACAGGTATCTGTGAATCCTCCACCCATCGTTCCCTCAAATGCTTTTTTCAGTTTTCATCCTCTTCCTTCGCCATAAAAAATAAAAACGGCTAGGTACTGTAAACCAGGAGCAGGTGGTTCTGGTCCTCCAGGTGTGCGGGGTGTGTTTTGGCAAGTCCTGCCACCCTTTGGTGGCATGCCTTTTGGTGAAGAATTATGGTAGTTGTAGTCTAAAAACATATGGAGGTCTACAGTTACCCACCCCTGCTATACAGATATATGATAAAGGCAGTTTTTGCAGGCTTTCAACCTGAAGTGGAACATAAATGGAAATATATTGAAAATATCAGAAAAATCAGGTTTCTGTGTTTTCTGCACAGAAAATGTGGTTTCTTTGTTCCTTGATATTATTTTTCCTTAAATTTCATATCCCTTCATTTCCTTACATTCTGGATCTTGACCCCAGCTGGTTTTTTAGCCCTCTGTCTGGCTTCCATAAAGTCCATCTCACGCCAACTCTCCAGCCAAGAAAGCTGGTGCTGTTCTTTGTTTATTCACTCTCTGGTCATAATATCCTCCTTCTAAGTACATCATGAGATTTTTCTACCAGAAAAACTAGGATCCTTTCACCATGTGCTTGATGCAGAGTGAGTGGCAGTGTGTGTGAAGACTTAGCTTAAACTGACTCTCAAGCATGAGAGCAGACAAGTATTTTGGGCCTCTTTCATTGATAGGCTGCCCAAACTGAGAGGAGTTCTTATATTAGCCAGTTCTGGAACCTTATATCACCTGGTAGCTCTCGATTGGTTGTCTCACGTCTCCTGGTTCTCTTCCATCATTTGACTTCCCAGCCAAAGAGGGTTATGGACTATTACTGCATAGTCCCATCTTGAGCTGCCTGTGCATTTGACCTGATCAAGTGACCTAATGAGTCAGTATGACTTTATGAGGTTTCACACTGAGCTTTGACAGGTGCTGATGCAAATTCTTGATTTATCCCATTGCAGGAGGGAGGGATGCTTCAAGTTTTAATCCAGACAAACAAACAAACAAAATTCACTGGCCAAGGCTGATTTTTCAGAAAGTGGGGAAACACTAACCAGTGGAAAAGTCCAGCCATAATTGAAGATGATGGACATGTACAGAACCAATTAGAGAGGGAATCCAGAGTAGAAAGGAAGATCAGCCCAAAAAGATGATGAGGTGGTAGTGAAGTTTGTAAAAATTATGGTATTTTTAAAAATTCCCAAACTAGAACACTTTAGCCAACATAAACAGTGGCCATGCTGGTTGGGAGTTCTAATCCAAATAACAAACTAACTTCTATTTGCTCTATGTCAGTGATTCCCAACCTTGGGTCCCCAGATGTTCTTGGACTACAACTCCCAGAAATCCTGGCCAGCACAGCTAGCAGTCAAGGCTTCTGGGAGTTCTAGTCCAAGAACATTTGTAGATACAAGGTCAGGAACCACTGCTCTAAGTAGTAGCCTGGGTAAAAATTGACTGGAGTTGTCTAGCTGATGTATGAATCTTGTGGAAGCCAATTACAGTATGGTTCAAGCAATTGGCTGGTAAGATCAAAGCAGCAGAAGAGAATGAGAAGGAGAGACTGTCTTTCTGTTGCCTTTCAGTTCCTTGCTCAGCTGAAGATCATGGATTATAGTTTGCTGGTAGGGATTCATGATGTGGATCGTGCAGAGCAGGAGGAGATGGAAGTGGAGGACCGAGCAGAAGATGAAGAGTGTGAGAACGATGGCATTGGGGGAAACCCCGTTGGTTCTTATGGGACTCCGCCTGACAGCCCTGGCAACCTCCTCAACTTCCCTCAGTTTTTTGGACCTGGAGAATTTGATCCTTCAGTTGATGTTTATGCTATGAAGAGCCATGAAAGTGAGTTAGGGGATACCCTGGGAAGAGTGGGGAGGAAGTTGAAGGCAATGCTGTCGACAAATCATCTGACTGTAAATGTTTAATAAAGTGGCTAGTCAGCTGGTGGCAGGCACTGTCTAGTGATTTAAAAGTGCCTGATTTTATGGCATGTACCCTGCAGAAAGTGGATATGTGTCCTAGAAAAAGTCCCAGATTCCTTTGCAACCACAGGTTCCATGGCAGACCAGACCCTTTTGATAAGTGTTTCTGAATGAAGAGAACTGGGAAATTACTATTCTGAATCATAAGTGCCCCAGAGGTCCTTGTCATAGTCTTCCCCAACCTCTGTCTGTATTGGGCTACAGTGATTATAATGCTCAGCAATAGCATTGCCCAGGCCTCCAATTTACCTATCTATATGTATGAGCAGCATACTGCTTTTTAAAAACTTTTTAAAATATGGAAATATTCCGTATACTCCTCCAGTCAAAAGTTAAACGTGTATTGTAGATATGGAGGCCAAATTCAGGAGAAATGAATTGCTAGGCTTGCATAATGCAGTTGATGAGACTGAGAGAGACTGTGTACTGTATATGCTCAAGGCAGCTGCTCCTTTCCTTACCTGCTCCAGCAAATCAATCATTTCCACAAAGATGTTTTGGGCGGTACCTCATTGTATCTGCTGGATTTAAAAGATCACCCTTAGGCCTTGTGTCTAGCCTTGTGTGTGCAAAACCTAAGCTGTGTTTGTTATTTAAAGAAAACGGCAAGCCTGAAATGTGTATGCTGCTGCTTTGTAAACCACTGTCAATCTCTCTCTCTCTCCTTGATCTTTCTCTGATTTTAATCAGGTGCTCCTAAGAAGGAGGTCTATTTCATGGCCATTATCGATATCCTCACGCCATACGACACAAAGAAAAAAGCAGCACATGCTGCCAAAACCGTGAAACATGGGGTAAGTTGAAACCATTCCTATTCTTTGTCCTGAGCCTGAACCTTTCAATATATGTTAGGAAGTTCTACTATTAGAAGAGATGAGGAAGATTTTCTCTCCACTTCCGGTCTGCCTCACCCTGTTGTGTGAAATCTTTGCCACCAACTTTGTCCCTCTGATCCTTTTAGGTCACAGCATAGATTCTTTTTTAAAGGAATGTGTTTTGTAACTTATTACAGATACATGCACAGGTTTCAATCCATCTTTAGACAGAAGAAAAATGGGGGGGGGACTTCCTCCAGAGTATTGAGAAAATGTAGAGAGTCAACATACATTCTGGATTAAACTTCTCTTTTCAAGAACTACTGGAAGAATTTATTGTTTCTGAGTTCTAGTTTCTATTGTGTGATCAATCAAGATGTTTTTTTCTTTTTCTTTTTTCTGAGACAAAGACTCACTCTAATTCAACTGCTGGGATTCTTACCCCTCAACCCCAATTCTATTCCCCTAGTCTCTTGGGAGGACCGGTGCAAAGCACCTGCACAAAATAGCTTGGGAATATTCTTGAGTTAGAACCTAGACTTCTTTGGTGAGGGGCTACATGCTTTGCCCATTCCAGTGCTCATGCCTAAAAGGGCCTGTTCCGTGCTTTCCCACTCAGTTCTTCATCTGTAACATCAGGAGGAACATTTTTTTGGTTTCCTAAAAGGCAGTGGCCAAGGGAATGTTGATACTTGAACTCTGTCAGGCTGTGATTTGATCTAAGCCCTTGACTTACCAGCTCTCATTATATCTTGGACATCACTTTTTTCTTTTTTCTTATTTTAAGTACAATACTTTATAATCTACAGTACAGATGCTAGCAAAAAAAAAACCCCTCAGTTATGAAAAATCAACTACTACCACAGTAGAGGGTTTATGCTATGAAGACAATGGAGACAAAGAGGGTGACAGATTATTGTCAGTTCAAAGTCTGTCACTAAGTAGGAAGTCATTTGTGATTCCATGAACAGAAACTCATTCTCATAATGATTCACAGAATATTATTCTATAACCTACGCTGATCTTGGGATAGTCCAGTGGAGGCAGAATTAATATGTGCAAGAAAAATAGAGAAGATTTCCATGAATCCGTCTTGTGTTTCTGTTCCTCTTTACATGTCAGTTTTTCCATTTTTGCAACTAACCAGGCTTGACCCTTCCAGTTACTCAGTGACAAATGATTCAAATCATTCCACTTTTGGGAAGTTTCCATCCTAGTTGCTGGGGGTGATATTATAATCATATATTTAAGTAAAAAAAAAAAAAAGAACTGTTAAGGTGAACAGAAATTCATAGAATTAAAAGCTCATCTTAGTATTATTATTGTCTGGCCAGTTATTTTATTACGAATAGGGAAAACACAAAAGCACAGAGGACTAGAGGAGGATGATTAAGCTCTACTGACCACACTTCCTCCAGCATAGTGTGTTGACTGTGGTGTCACATTCTTTTTTCAGCTAGCTTTTCTTTTTTCTTTTTGTCTTCCAGGCTGGCGCAGAGATTTCGACTGTCAATCCAGAGCAGTATTCGAAACGCTTCAATGAATTTATGTCCAATATTCTGACATAGTTGTCTTCCGGTCTTTGGCCAAACAAACAAACAAAAAAGGTGGAGGGAGAAGAGCTGGGTCACAGGGGGGATGCTACTTCTAAAGCAACAGGAATACAGTCCACTCTGCTGGGGTGTAATGTTCTGTGATGTGTGATAACAGTGTAACCTAGCAGAAAACTAACTTCTAGCTGTAGGTCTCCGAATAGCCCACCTGACCTGGTGGAAAAAGTGGGATTTCCCCCTCTCTTTCTCCCTCATTTGGTTGCAAAAACATTGGAACATAAATCTGAGGAACTAAGTACTGTTAAGAGCGACGCTTCTTTACTTTTGAACAGTATCACAGTCTGCAGGTGGTCATGTGAATAAATAACGGACATTAACTTTACAAGCGGTTGTTCTTCCTTTGACTGGACGCCTGGTCTTTCCTTGGAGCAAAGCCCCTCGTTCCTTCTTTCTCTAAGAGCCGGACAGGAAACAGCATGCCGTTCTGAGTGCAGAATACTGTGATAACGATATGGAGAAGCCATTTAAAACGAACTGGAACAAAGCTTTTTGTTTTATCTTGTTTTGGTATTATATCCACACACACCCTAGTGGTCGTTTTGAAAGAGATGGGGAGGGGATTATGGTGTTAATTAGCTGCTTAAAATTGGATGCAAACCAAGAGGGGAAGCAGCTGCAGAAGCATCTATACATCTATTAAGACATTTTGTAGGTCCTCGAGGAGGATCAGGACTAGAAGAGGACATGGCGCCATGAAATCAATCTTTTGATGAGTTGCAACTACATTTTTCTTGGAGCACTTGGACTAAATTGAATCTATAACATAACTGATATTCTACTCATCCTAATTTAATCATGGTTCAGTCAGCTTTTTTAACTTTGATCTGGCTGATTACCCTTTCAAATGATGTTTGCCATAAAAAGACTACCACTTTTCTAAATAATTTATTGTGTTGTGAATCAGTGTGTTAGAAATCTGCCATCCCTGGCATTTTTGGCGATGATCTGTATTGGGAGCAGCCCAGAACTATTGAAGTATGTGATAAATTTGATGCAAGTGACTGCTGTATAACCACTAGGACAGACTGCCTTGCTAAGATAACTCATTGGAAATCCTTGTGCTACACAAGGTTTCTTGAAGAATTCAAGTTCTTCTCTCCCTCATTTGAACGACAACATATTTTCTTACATCTGCAGCTCTGGATTTCGCTGCCCCGCTTGTCAAAACTGCTGAAGATTTTGGAAGCTATGTGTTGATTCTGTGTTTTAATATTATTGGGAGGAGGGGGTTGTGTGGGTTTTTTTTTAAGGGATCAATTTAGGCAGTTTTGAGTCATGACTTTGCAATCAAGACATTCTGCTTATTCTGCCTTGAAACTGTTTCTTGCACATGCCTTTCTTCCCCCGAACATGGATGTTGGTGTGTTTGTGTGTGTCCTGTACTGTAACACACGTTTTGCTTTGTGGAGTTTATCTTGTTGAGAGAGTGGCGAATGTTTTCTCTTTCTTCTTTTCCTGTACTACGTTCCTCTTCTCAGATGGGATCTCCTTTCCAACCATCACCATTTCAAAAGAAAGATTTGAATCATGGAGTATGCTGTAAATAATGTAAGGTGTCTTCAATGTCTAAATGAAACCATTCATTAGGAATGGGAGGTGAAAGTCCCCTTTCTGTTCACCTGTGAATTTCAAGCCAGGATTTTTTTTAAACATCAGAAGTCACTGTCTGCAATGGGTACGTGTCCAGCTGACTATACCATAAACTAAGTGTGAATACGTGAACCTATTTAAACAGGAAGAATGGGTATGTGCAACAGGCTGTAAATATTTTGATAGCCACAGGGTTACCTTTTTCCTCAAACAGTGTGCACTTGAAGTCCATTGTGAAATAGAAGATATAAACCATCTGTGACCTGGTAAGGTTTTCATTCTTGCTTCCATTTGTTTTGGTTAAAAACCAATCACATATACTTTGTAAGTAATAATGATACATAGACAAACAGTCACACCAGACCTTTCTTTTTTGTTTTTTTTTCAATAATGATGACAAAATATCTGCCACCACTGAACTACGTTTGCTATCCCAAAAGTGGGGAAATCATTGTCCCACAAACAAACAGTGTATGCGCAGAAGCTTCTGTGCTGGGAGTTCAAGCATCAGTACTAAAAATGCCTACTTTTAAATATGTCTGTGTCTTTTGTTCACTCTCATTCTTCCTCATTGTCTCCCATTCATGACTTTCTTCCTTTGTTAAATCATAGAATATTGAAATTGGAAGGGGCCTATAAGGCCATTTCCATGCTCAGTGCAGGAATACAAATCAAGGGATATCTGCCCGGTGGGTGTCTAAATTTCTCTTTAATGCCTCCAGTGCTGGAGCACTTGCCACTTCTCAAGATAAATTGGTTCCAGCTGTTTTACTACTCTTTAACAATTAGGAAGGTTTTTCCTATATTCAACTGAAATCTGGCTACCTGTAATTTTAGCCAATTGTTATGTGCCCTGCATGCACTCTGGGATGACTGAGAACAGATCCTGCCCCTCCTCTGTATGATAGCCTTTCAAGTACAGTATTTGAAAAGTGCTATCACTTCTCGCCTCAGTCTTCTTTTCTCAAGGTTAAACATGTTCAGTTCTTTCAGTCTTTCCTTACAGAGCTTGGTTTCCAGTCCCTGATCATCCTTGTTGCCCTCCTTTGAACTTGTTCCAATTTGTCAGCATCCTTCCTGAAGCATGGTGTCCAGAACTTGGACACAGTACTCAAGATGAGGCCTAACCAGTGCTGAATAGAGGGGAACTCTGGTATCTTGTGGGATTTGGAGATTATACTTCGGTTAATGCAGCCTAAAATAGTCTTTGCCTTCTTTTCTTTTCTTTTCTTTTCTTTTTTTTTTTTTTTTTTTTTTTTTTTTTTTTTTTTGTCATTCCACTTTTTTTTTTTTTTTTTTTTTTTTTTTTTTTTTTTTTTTTTTTTTTTTTTTTTTTTTTTTTTTTTTTTTTTTTTTTTTTTTTTTTTTTTTTTTTTTTTTTTTTTTTTTTTTTTTTTTTTTTTTTTTTTTTTTTTTTTTTTTTTTTTTTTTTTTTTTTTTTTTTTTTTTTTTTTTTTTTTTTTTTTTTTTTTTTTTTTTTTTTTTTTTTTTTTTTTTTTTTTTTTTTTTTTTTTTTTTTTTTTTTTTTTTTTTTTTTTTTTTTTTTTTTTTTTTTTTTTTTTTTTTTTTTTTTTTTTTTTTTTTTTTTTTTTTTTTTTTTTTTTTTTTTTTTTTTTTTTTTTTTTTTTTTTTTTTTTTTTTTTTTTTTTTTTTTTTTTTTTTTTTTTTTTTTTTTTTTTTTTTTTTTTTTTTTTTTTTTTTTTTTTTTTTTTTTTTTTTTTTTTTTTTTTTTTTTTTTTTTTTTTTTTTTTTTTTTTTTTTTTTTTTTTTTTTTTTTTTTTTTTTTTTTTTTTTTTTTTTTTTTTTTTTTTTTTTTTTTTTTTTTTTTTTTTTTTTTTTTTTTTTTTTTTTTTTTTTTTTTTTTTTTTTTTTTTTTTTTTTTTTTTTTTTTTTTTTTTTTTTTTTTTTTTTTTTTTTTTTTTTTTTTTTTTTTTTTTTTTTTTTTTTTTTTTTTTTTTTTTTTTTTTTTTTTTTTTTTTTTTTTTTTTTTTTTTTTTTTTTTTTTTTTGGTAGCCACATCACACTGTTGGCTTTTCAGTGCTGGATTTATGAGCACATTAAGTTACAACTAAGGGTCTCAGATTATGAAGGATTGCCAAATTTTTAAAAAGTTTAAAACATTCAGTTTCATTTATAACACATTTATTTTGCTTTTTGTTTTGTTTTTGTTTGGTAATGCAATGGGGACTCTTACACTTGGCATAGCTTAGTCATCAGCATTTCCAAAGTGGTTCCTTTCTTCACTTCTTTTTTAGTGTTGCTTTTGCTCACAACTTCTCAGTAGCACCGTACATACTTAAGTACCTCCATGGTGACATCTTTCCCACTATCTTCAAAACACATCTCCTGATGCTTAACCGTTTTCTCTTTATCACCAGCCAAATTCAAATCTATATATCTATAACTGCATTTGCTCAGTTTCCTTTTCTCTCCACCATTACGCATGTCAAAATGTCATTTATAAACTCCTGGAGCTGTGCTATAAATCCCAATACCATGGGTACTGACTGTATCAAATAATGGTAATACAAATTGGGGGGGGGGATTAGGGGATAAAGCACACCTGAGGTGCCCAGTGTGGTGTAGTCGGGAGAGTAATGGACTAAGACGCAGGTGACTGGTTTGAATTCCCACTTGGCCATGTATAATCACTGAAGAGGTTGAGCATAGAACTGGCAAAACTACTCCTTAAATATCCCACTTACCTTGAAAGCCCTATTTGGTTTGCTATAAGTCAGTTCTGACTCAATGGTACATAGCAACTAACTGTACAAGCTATTGCATGGAATTGCCATCCTGGATGTAGCTAGGCTCTGTCTTGTACAGACAAAACAATGTGAATTGCTCATGATATCTGAAATGAGAAGCATCCAGCTATACATCTAGGCAAAAGCCAATCCACTGAATTATAGTCTGTTTTAAACTAGCATGGAGTATCATGAACTGCCAGGTGCTAGATGGTTTTTCAAGTTTATCTGCACCAAGTCTCAACCAAAATAGGCCCACTGAATCAGCAGATTGAAACCTAAGGAATTGTTGACCTAGTTGGGAGGCTCCCATTAGAAGATTGTTGACAAACTTGTAAAATTACATGATTGTAAACTTAAGTTTTAATTGATTCAGTGGGCCAGCTCTAGCTGTGATTAATAATTGGCTTTAAATCACTACTTCAATACTCATCCTCCGCTTATATCACTAATACTCCGTGTATAATTTTGGTTTCCCTCCATAACCTGCTATCAAGGGTCTAGTCCATACTGATTAAATGTTGTCTCTTAACTATACACTTTGTCTTGTCCCATTCTTTGCCCTCCACCAACATTTTGCTTCCCCCTGCTCCCTTGCTGGTGCCCTCTGTTATGCTACCCCAAAGTCTGGAGCACTTCACTTGGAGCAAGTTTCACTTAAGCAAAATTGGGCCTGATTTACCTTTTGCTCCACCTTGATATCTACCAATTTCTCAGTCTCTGAACCTTGGCCCCAGCTTCAGTGTCTCAATCATAGAGCTTTGATACAGCACCCAGTATGTGTTGGGCTTAAAGCAGAGCCCTCTCAATTCTTGATTGCAACACTTGATTGCAACGCAGTTGCTCTGACTTCTCTTGCTGCCAGCCTTTTGATTTTGATGAATAGGTGAATGCTCAGTTTCTCTCTCTCTCTCTCTCTCTCTCTCTCTCTCTCTCT